GTCCTCCACAACTAGACTGAAGAACAAAAGGACAGCAACTTGTCTGTTCCCATCCCCCAATTCCCCAATAAAAATCTTAAAAAAAAAAAGAAAATAGGTAAACTAGGAAGAACATTTTCACATAGTTGCATCCATACTTTCTGTATGAGTTTATATCTTGTTTGTTTTCCACGTAACATTATAATAGATGCCTTGTTCCACCATGTTAGAAATTCTTATTTTCAATGGCTGCCTAATAAACCCTCCGCTGGATGTACCATTATTTACTTGAACAATCTCCTATTGTTGAACCTTGCAGTGGTTTCCAATTTCTCACTGTCAGCAACAGTGCTGCAAAGAACATCTTTTTTTTCATTAAGCCTTTTCTGTTTGCCCTATTTCCTTAAGATAGTTTCCCAGAAGTAGAAATACTGGTTCAAAGGCCACTGGCATTTTAAGTCTCTTCCTACATACATAAATTATTCCCCCAAAGTGTGGCACCCGGTCCTTCTCCCACCAGCAGAGCTTGAGAGTGTTCTGAGGGGAGTTGCCTATGCTAACCGGCCTTTTGTTTTGTTCCCACAGCCTCATAAAGAGAATGGCCCAGAGCGTGGTGGAAGTAATGGAAGACGCCAAGGGGAAGGTTCAGGAGAACCTCCTGGCCAACGGAGGTAGGTTGCTCGAGGGTTCTCCCGCCAGTGCCTTCTCAGCTCACGCTGGCCCATCGGTAGCCCTAGCTGTGGCCACAGGGTAGTGACTGAAATGATATGCACACCCCCAACCCCAGAGGCTCTGAATTGACAGAGGCCATATACCCCACTTTCAACTCAACAGCACCAATGTTTTGAAGACATGCCCCTTTGCCCGTTTATCGTCCCGTTGTCTCATTTCTAAAACGTCCAGCGCTTCTTACCCTGTAGCTAAAGTCCTCTATGAAATTTGAAGTTGAAATGGCTTCAGTGGGGTCTAATGGTTGTTTGGCCCTTCCCGTCTCTATCAGCCCCCTCTCTATCCTTCATGGAACGTTTCCTGTGCCCCCAACCCCCAACCGATTTATCCCTTTCCCCAAAAGAGGCTTAAAATGCCTTCACATGCTGAGGAGTGCCTCCGACTGAAGTCTTAAGTTGTGCCCAGTAAACAGAGAGTTAGACCCAAAATGTTTTGATCCATTAATTGTTACATATAATTTGAGTGCACTTAAAATGTGCAAGACAAAAAGTGTGCAGCTTTGGAAACTTTAGAATTAGGTGTTTAATATCTGTAGAGTTAATTAAACCTATGACTTTATGCATGCATATATACTGAAAATATATATGCATATATTCTGCATTTACCATTTATGTCATTCGTTACCTAGAAATGTATATTTTTTTCCCTCTTGGCAACCTTAAAAAGCTTTTTGTTTTTTTGTTTAAATTGACAAACGGAAATGTTCATTCTCCTGAACTTGGCTTTGTGTGTGAATGAGGTTGAGTAACGCCACCTTATTACATTGCAGGTTTGAAGGAAAAAATGAAATGTTTAAAGAGTAGGTTATGCGTTGTTTGCCGTGTTTTGTTCAGTGTGGTCCCTGCATGTCTCTGGGAAGGTGGACTCTTGGTCTGGTTGTAGGGATACTGTGACCAGATTACGAAGTGACAACCTCGTAGCTTGGTCACAATACCCATATGACACAGATTGCAACTGTTTTATTCCTTTCCCCTCTTCCTCGTGTCTCCCCGGCCTCCCAAGAAACACTGCATGCCTCCTAGAGTGGGGATGCTTTGACTCCGGGATTCCAGGTGGACTTCCGCCTGTTGGCCTTACAGCCTACTTCTTTCCCTGATGGCCGGTGTCCTCCTGCCTGCTTATGGAGGACGGCTGTTTTGTGTGTCCTGGCAGCTTAAGTGCCAGGCTTAGCTTTGTGCGGCCTTGATGGGGCTCATGTGTACAAGGAACCTGCTTCTCTCGAGCCTTCTGCGGGAGACCCTGTGCCCACACAAGCCATTACTGGTTTCAGCTATTAGAAGGAGCCATTTGCTTTGGGTTTTCTTCCACCTGCTCAAACTGATAGAATTAAAGCCCAGCAAATCCTTTTAGGACGAATACAAATCTTTACAGATTGGACGTTACCAAAATGCCTTCCCAAATGCAATCTGTTTGTTACACTGAGGTTTCTAGCTAATGCTAGTAAAAAAACAACAACAAACTATTTTGTTAAAAAGATCTCATTTCTCAGCAGGTAACTCCTACGGCCCTAGACGGAAGAGCTGACTTATGATAGAGAGCTACTTTTCTACATAAAAACCTGGTCTTTAAAGCACGAGGATTCGAGCTTACATTAAAATAGTGTTCAAAGGGCTTACATTCTACTCAGCATTCACACTACTTACTATCAGATGCTATGATTCTGTCATGTCCATCCCCAGTTCCGATGGCACCAACTCTAAAAGATGCTGTCTCTTCTCAGGAGGAAGACATTCAGCTTTATTTGTTTGTTTAATATGTTTCATTATCTCTAGGTATCCTGTGCGTCGGGTCTCTGTGACTTCCAAGACTTGTTCTATACACCAGGCCTGTGCCAACAAAGGTTCAAGGACACTAGGGCATAGTAAAGGCTCTGAAAAGTACCGCAGTCCAGCGTCCTTACCAAACTTAATTTGGTTCAGGCTTTCTGAGATCATTTGGATGGGGAAATCTTTTTCTTCTGCAGAGCATAGAATTGGTATTGACAGAACTAACTGGAGGAACTCTGTGCAGCCCCAGCAGGTGGGGTTTTAATCCAATCTCAAGAGCAGGAATTTGGGTTACATGGAGAGCCAGCAGCCCCAACCTTGGAACCGGTCAGATCTGGTCCTGCTGCGTAATGCACTTTGTGACCGTGGCAGGTCACCTCTCTGGATCTTGGTTTCCTTTTTTCTTCTCTTTTTAAAAAAAAAATTTATTGAGGAACAGCCATGGTCATTGGTTACACATTGCTTTCATGCTACAATGGCATAGCTGACTCTATTAGAGAGGGCGCAGCTCACAGTGGCCCATGCAGGGATCGAACCGGCAACCTTTGTGTTATCAGCACCACGCTCTAACCAACTGAGCTAACTGGTCACCCCTGGGTCTTGGTTTTGTCACCTGTCAATGGACTTTATCCCTTTATAGATTCTTGGCTTTGCGTGGGCACCTTTTGTTTTTTATTTCTCTTTGCCCGTAGCTGAGCTTCAGGAGTGGAAAGGCACAGATGCGTTTGATTTCACCAGAAGCTGAGCAAACGCACATTGTCTGGCCTGGGCCCTAGAATGTGCACAGAAGTCGTAAACACCAGGAGGCCCCACTGACGGGCCGTAGGCTGCGTGGTCACAGGCCCTTTGGTGTGCTGCCGGGAAGGCATTGTTTTGGCTCTCACGCGTGATCGTTGCTGCTGAGGAGTTCTGTACAGCGTATTTTGATATGGAGCGAGCCCGTCTGGGTCATGAACGCACAGGCCATCCATCCAAGCCTCGCATTGCTCCCTTGGAGACCAGGCTTTGCCAGCTTCATCCAGGGTAGGGGAAGGGAGGCGAGGCTGGTTCTTTCGTGAGCAGGCACAGAGACAGCTGCAGTACTGGGAAGGTAGAGGGGGCTGGTGCTTTCTAAGGTGGAGGACCCTCCCCAGATCATGTTCTCACCAATGGCCATGTGTGTAGATGGGGCAATGCTGCCCTTGCATGCGTGACCTGGGGCTATGGTCAGTGTCTGGAGCTGGTATTCTGGATATGGGAGAGGAGGTGTTGGAGGAGGAGGAGGCCACAGCCCCAGGCTTCTGCAGGAGCTCTGCAGTCTCCTTCGCCCTCCTCTCCTCCTTCATTCACTGGACACTCCTGCTCAGCTCTCCAGTACCAGGCACTGTGCTGAGTGCTGGGCATTCAGGAAGGCTCGCCCTCCTGGGCTGCTGGCCTTGGGGGGCAGACCCACAGCACCATTCATGCTGTGATGGGGTCTCGAGAGAGAGCTCGGGAGACACCATGAGGGGAGGGGCTGAGCCGCAAAGGGATTGTAGCTCTTGTCATGGAAATGGGGAACACATTCTTTTTGGTCTGAATACCATAGAGGACTTGGAGTTTGTGAAAATCCATGGAGACAAGAGCTTGGTCTGAAACGTATCTCTTCTGAGCAACCCAGGCAGTGTGAGTTTGAACAATAAGCAGGGTTATTAGGACGATTTGTGTATGGAGTGCTTGCTCTGTGCTGGGCTCTGGGGACACAAGGATTCCATAAGAGCAAGAGAATGAGGGGTGATCGGACAGCGTCATCAGTGTGAAGGGACCGGCACGCATCTGTGTGCTCAGGCCAGCAGGGGAGAGTCGATTGGGCAGGCTCTCAGGAGGAGTTGGTCTCTGTCCTGATGTTAAATGACCAGAGAGCAGCAGTGACAGAGAGTGTGAGGGGTTGAGAGCGTCTTGGCTTGGGTGGCCACAGGGTGCTGGAGGTGGCAGAGGGGTGACGGGAAGGGGGAGGGCGATCCCAAAGCCTGTCCAGTGTCTCCTGCTTGAGGCTGGCTGTTCTCTGGCCTGTAGGATAGGTGATGGTTCCTACCTGTCAGTGTGTGACCAGCAGGAGAGGTGTGTGACAAGCACGCTTGCTCAGTGCCTGGCCCACAGCAGGGTTTAGTGAGTAGGCTCAGGGACGACGGCTGCCACAGGAGGAGTCCTTGGCAGCCTTCCAGTTCCACCTCTGACCGCACCCCCTGCTACCATCAGACATCAATTCAGTTCCTCCCAGGTCTGGATTCTTCCTACAAAGTCATTTCCCTGCCTCAGTGTGGCAATACCAAAATCTATATTAATACCAAATTAATACCCAAATCTGTATTAACCTACTCCGGCTGCCACAGCAAAATACCACAGATTTGGGGGCTTAAACAGCAGATATTTATCTCTCACAGTTGTTGAGGCTGGATCAAGGTCAAGGTGCTGGCAGGTTTGCTTCCTGGCGAGAACTCACACCCTTGGCTGTGTCTGTATGTGGACCCGGTGCGAGCACAGGGGTGGCTCTTCTTATAAGGACACTTTATATAAAAATAAAGTCCCTACACTGAAAATGCACATCCGTGCCAGATACTAAAAACCACACTCACAAACGCCAGCATTTTGCTATTGTTTAAAATGCCTTCTTTGAAACGGACCATGTTGTGTTGAAATCACCTCTTTCCAGTGCTTGGTCGTGGGAGGCAGGAAGGTGGCTCACCTTGCGAGCCGGTGCCACCCACGACCGGCTGGGTGGTCTTCAGGGGTTGGCTGGGAGCTCTCTGTGTGCCTTCAGGGTACAGCCACCGGGAAAGGCGGGGAGTTAGTCTGGCACGCTCAGAATATCTCCCGACATTGCAGGATCTCCCAAATACCGGTCTCTGGGGCCATCTGAGTGAGAGTCTGGGGCACAGCAGTCACCTGTGACAGTGTCCCTATGGCCAGCCAGTTGGCTCAGCTCCCACAGGCAGAGTTTGCTGTCCCAGAGCCCTGAGCCTGTCCTCTGGTCTCTCTACTTGCTTCCTTGGTGTGAGTGGGACACTTGACTTGAGGGCTGGACACCCCGGTCTCCAGAGCCCTGCTCATCGGTTGAAATGTGTTTCTGTTCTTCCAGTTGATTTAACGTCCTTTGTGACCCACTTTGAATGGGACATGGCCAAATACCCCGCGAAGCAGCCACTGGTGAGCGTGGTGGACACTCTTGCAAAGGTAAGAGGAGAGGCTTCTCCCCGTGGACACTGACTCTTCTGGGACTGGGGACATCTGACCGTCTGAGGTAGATCTACGTGACGTTTGGACCCTGGCGAAGTAGAGAGGGACTTTCCAGGAGGCCAGAGGTGGGAGGCTGGGTTCTAGCCCTGCAGCGTTCCCTCCCCATCTGCCTCTTGCCGGCCCTGACCGGGCCCTGGTGGGTTTCGGAGGTATGGCCTTCCATGCCCTGGGCAAGGTCAGAGACCTATGGCTGTCAGGACAGCCCTGGGAACAGCAAAGGGGACCACGTGCCTGCCCTCCACCTCTTCCAGTCCTGTTACCTGGCTGGGTGACTGCATCTCACAGGACAGTCCCCTAGACCCACGGGTTCTCTGAGCCACCAGAGTCTGACCCCAGGCCCTGTGCCCATTCACTGAGCCGGCCCCCCCCTCCACCTCTTTTTTTTTTTTTAAGTCACTTAAGGAAGAGTTACCCCACCCTGACCTCCTCGTAGACCCTGCCCCCCACCCCCTATCTACCGGGGTAATTGTGTACTTGACCAAAGCTGTCTGCTCCAGTAGAGAGTGTGCCTTAGGAGTCCTAACCCTTGGGAGATGTCTGCTGAGGGTCCTGCCCCTGATCTGAGGTTCCTGTGACAACAGGGAGGTCAGGCCAGGAAGCATTGCCCCCACGGCTCCCCCATCTTGGTAAGCAGTGGCCTGCAGCGTTTGCTTCATGAATAAAAGCACCACGGCACAGGCCTTTGGGGACACTGTGGAGTCTCACAGCCATGTTGACTCCTGTTTGTCTCATTGAAGATGGACGCTGACAGCTTACGACTGCCTGTACCCCATCCCTCCACGATACACCAAGCCCCTCATATGTTATAGCTCCTGCTGGCCCATGTGTCTGGGACAGAGTCTCAGCCAGGCCAGGAACAAAGCCCTCCTGTTTCTGCTCAGAGTGACAGAGCCACCAGGGTGTGGCTGGGCGGGCCAGGGGAAGGCGATGGCTACTGGGACCCATCCCTGTGCAGCCTGGCCAATCGCCTTGTGGCAGGCTGGTGCCCGGCCTGTGTCTCTGGGAACACAGGTGGGGCCAGAAGTCTTGGGAATCTGGGTGCAGCTCCTCTTATGTCACAGAGGTCCCAGCCCCTCCTGGGACAATTGGGTAGTGATTCCGAAAGGCCCTTTGAGGAGGGGCTGCCTGGAGCACCTGTGTCAGGTGTGGCTTCCCAGAAGGGTGTTGTGCACCTTCACCACCAACTTAGAAGCACATGGTAGCTTGTGGGGCTGGCCCGGAGCCCTGCGCTGCGCAAGTGATGCGAGGCTGAGCCAGGCAGGGTGGTCAGCACTGTTCTCTGAATCCCCTGGGATAGTGCTTACTGGCGTGGCTGTCCCAGGGTTCCCAGACCCAGTGATGGAGGCCCCAGAGCACATCGGGATGTCAGCTGAGGGGGGTACAGCAGTGGTAGAGGATAGAACCTGGCTTCTATCTAGTCTAGGGGACCCAAAGGGTGACTTTGGGGAGGGGGCACGGGTTTGGTGGTACTCCTGTATGCCTGGAACCACACGGGGCTCTTTTATTTCTTTTACTCTTCATGTCAGCCCTGGGAGGTAGGTGTCACCTCTCTGCTAATTCAGATGGGAGGCTGGCTGAGGCTGGGTGGCCTGCCCTGGGGCCTGCAGCGTTGAGGTATCACACTGGGGCGGAAATGCAGGCCTTGGTTTGCTGTGTGTGTGGCATCCTTGCCAAAGAGCTTCTCTGAGGCCAGCGGGGTTCCCTCAGCCCTGCGCCAGGCCTGTTCCTCCAGTGGGAGGTCTAAATCTGTTAACTAGACTCATCCTAGTTAAAGGAACTCCCTTCACTGGGAGAGCCACGGGGAGACAAAAGTCGCTGTGTGGCTGGGTGTTGAGTAGTGCCTTCCGGGTGACCAAGCAGTTCTCACCCTGGGAGGAGCCCGGTGTTGACTCAGTCAGGGGAGGCCCTGGGCCCTCCCAAGAGCTGGGAACTGAGCCCACCGGCCCCCACTTTAAGGAAGACGCGTGAGAATGAAGAGGGCTTCAGCTCACTCCCGGCCCTGCACACAGCATGGCAGCGTGTCGCCTGTCAGGGACCCATCCAGCCATGGCTGTGTCAGTCTCCACAGGCTGGGGTCATGCTGTAGTTTCAAAAAAGCCCCCAAGAAGTCACCGGCGTAAAAGCCAAAAAATGTATTTCTCCACCATGAACAGGTCTACCGTGGTTGGTAGGGGGGGCTGCTCCTTGCCAACCCACGGGGGGCGCTGGCTGCTGGCATCTCTGTCACCCGGAATCATCTCTAGGTGCTGTGGGGGGAGTTACACGAGGCCCTAAAGGCTTCTGCCTGCCTTTGGTGGTGCAATGCATCTAGAAGAAGCAGGGCTGGGCAGTTTGGTTCTGCTGACCACTGCCCTGTGCTGGCCGCTTTGCCCGGAAGTGTAGAGCTGACCGTGACCCGGCCGCCCTCCAGGAGCTGGGTCTGGTGGAGAAAAGGACGCGCCTTTCTGAACGACTGGCTCGTGGGCTGTCACTGCGCACCGTCATTCCGTGGCACTGAGCTCAGACACAGCTGGTCAGCCGGAGCTGGCGTTCCGGTTTGGGCCTAACTGGTCCCAAAGCCCTCGCTGGTTTTGCTGGTTCCCGAACACCCTCTGTAGTTTTTCACTGGCTTGTGGTGAAATCAGAAAAATGAGGACATTGCAGGACTTCCTTTCTTGTTTGAGATTTTTTTTTTCCTTTTCAAAAAAAATAAATTGTATTTTAAAACTAAGATCTGTGGATTGTACCCATGTCAATTTCCTGGTTATGATATTGTGCTGTTTGTTGTTATGTAAGATGTAACAATGGAGAAAACTGGAACATGGGATCTCCGTACTATTTTTACAGTGTCCAAAGAATCTACAATCATTTCAAAGTAAGAACTGTTTTGAAATTATAAAAAAATTGTAAATCGTAAGCCCCCAAAATCAAACATACCCAAATGTAAAGATAAAAACATGAAGAGACCTCCCGTGACATCATCCCCTCATTCCTGCTCCCTTCAAATTCCCCAAAGGTAACCCATGTTTAAAAGTCAGAAGTGGATCCTTCCATCTACATAACCATCTACATAAGAACTATATATATTTCAACTCAAAATTGTCCATGTCCTACAGATCGCCCCCTTTCTTCACATAATGATTCTGGAGCTGTCCCCATGTCAGCATGTGCTGACGTGTTGCGTTTGCTGGCATGTTGTGAATACTCCCCCCATGGCAATTACAAGCCACCAGCGAAGTGTCGCCGACCATGGGCTGAGATGGGAGAAGTGGGAGGAAATGGGCACAGTCTCTCTCAGGGGCCATGGGAATGGGCCCCACTCTCACGGGGGCCAGGGCATAGGAACCTTCCTCGCTCACAGTATTCTGTAACGGGACGCGGGGCGCCGGACTTTGTGGAACCAGTACTGCGTGTGCGGGCTCTGCTGTTGCACTGCGGGCCCTGCAGGGCGGGGGCTGGTGGGCTTTCTGTAAATTTCTGACCGCGAGGGGCTCACTGTGGTCCTGGACTGCTGCTGTCAGTGACCTCGGAGCACTCATTTGTAACCGTTGTAACAGCTACCGTGTTTTGAGAGCTTCCAGTGAATTGGGCTCCGGCAGGCATTTTCCTTTCACTGTTTTGAGCCCTTGGGGGGAGACATCACCCCGGCTGGGCCCACGGGGCACCTGAGGCAGGAGAGCTGGGTCTCGGGCCTCTGCTTGTCTTATTCCCGGCCCACCGCAGGAGGGGGTCTGGGGCATGCTCCTGAAACTTCTAGAACAAGGGGACCTCCGTAATGTCAAGCTGGTGGCTGCCTCCAAGCTAAGAGGAGCCTTCCCAACTGTGCAGAGCCGGAAGGGGCAGCTCTGGGGCACAGTCAGTGCTAAGCCATGGCAAGTCCCCATAGAAGCCAGGATGGGCGTCAGCTTGAGCTGACCTCCAGCAGAGCCTGAGAGTGAACCGTGTGGAGGGCTGTGGGTGCTCTGGGGCGATGGGTGCCCTGACAGACAGATGGGCTTGAAGTCAGGAGAAGATTCAGCTCCTTGAGTGATCCTAGAAGAGCCATTCATGCCTTGAGCCTCCATGTCTGCAAAACGGGGGGCTATTCCCCCGTACCCTGCCTCCCTTGGCCTTATGATGAATGTGGAATGTCTCAGAGAGCAGAGGGGGACAAACGAAACCCATCCTCGGCAAATGGGCAGGATTCATTTTTGTTTGTTTGTTTAGGGCACCAGGGGCCATTTGTAGCAATTTTGAAAAGTTCGACCAACTCTCTAAACTCTTATTTTTCCAAATAGCAACTGGCACAGATCGAGACTGACCTGAAATCCCGCACGGCCACCTACAACGCTCTGAAGACTAACCTGGAGAACCTGGAGAAGAAATCCAGGTGAGTGTCCGTGTTCCCACCCCGCTCGTGCTGCCCAGCCTGGGGCAGGAACCCGGCCAGGCTTATGCACGGCATGCGGTGCAGATCACTGGGTGACCCACATCTGGCTGTGTGTCTGAGAGAGAGACAGACAGACAGGTAGACACAGAGGCACTCCTGCCTCCCCAGGAGCTGTGTGACGAGGAGGAGAGGCCCAAGCTGGGGTTGATGGCACCTCCCTGCCTGTGCCCACAGATGAATACAACTCTGGAAGGTGCTCCCTTCCCTCTCCCAACCTCTCCCAGGTCATTGAGAACACCTGGGGTCCTTCCCCTTTACAGAGGCCCCTCCTCTAATAGGCAGTGGGAGGCCTGGCTGTCAGCCTGGCTTTTGTGAGGACTACAGAGGGCAGTGGGCTCTGTAGAGAGTCCCTGAGCAGAGCAGCCTCAGGGACTCAGGTGCCTCCTCTCCCCACCTGAAGGAACACCATGTGGGAGACGGAACAGACTGCTTGGGCCAGCAGACACAGTCCCCGAAGTGTTGGGGAGGTATCCAGAGAAAAGCATAAGTCCCGTGTCATGATGCTTTAATTGTCTTGTGAGATAGTGAGCTCCCTGTTGTTGGAGGCATGTAAGAAGATACCAGATGAGCTTCTTCTGCTAGGGAGGCTGGAAGGTGCTCGTGAACAGGGCCGAGTTGGCACGGAGGTTCCTCCCGGTCTCCCCAGATTCTGGATCTGATTCTGTTGGCAATTCTCTGAAGATACTCCAGAGAAGGGAAGTGGCCCAGGGGAGCGCAGAACCAGCTGTCTCCTTGGACAGCCATCCCTCTGATTGGCTCACTGCTGTGAGCAAAGAAAATGTCACCAGGGAGGTTCCTCCTACTGCTACTTTTCTTTTCTGATGGTCACTGGGCCAGCTGTCTTCTTGTGAAAAAAGCACTTAGGACATTTGTGGGAAATTTAAAATCAAGGAGGGAGAGATGCACTTCAACTAGAAACCGCCCTTGGTTGCCTGCCTTTGTATCAGAACTAAATCCACGCCAGCTGAGTTTTGCCTCCCCCCTTGGCCCTACCAGGGAGGGGTGAGGATGGGAAGATGGCAGGGCGTCAATGGCACACAGCCCTAAATGGTGACCTTGGTGTAGATCTGTCATGACATTGACCAGTGGGCCATGGGGCCATTCGCTTGGGCCATCCACTCGTACCCTCAGATTATGGATTTCTTAAGATTGTTTGGGACTTGAACAAGCATCTGGTCCAACCTCTTCAGTCAATTAGAAGTTGATTTCTAGTACCACTGACTGATTTGTGGAACATATACGCTGAGTGAGGGGGGGGCGAGTAAAGAGGGTGAAAGCGTCTCTACCTCTCTCTTCTGTTATTCTTTTCTTCTTCTGATAAATGTTTATTATGCACCTACTATACTCTCAGGCCTTGTGCTAGGCCCTAAAGATACAAAGCAGAATAAGATATAACTTCTGCACTCCGAGAGCTCACTATCATTCATTCAACAAATATTTTATGGGAAGTCTGTTTTGTGCAGGGGGCACAGGTGTAAACCAACAGGTAAGCTCTGACAGTGTCAAGATAACGTGGAAGTGCCACGACAGGGAGGCACACGCATGGTGCCTTTGGAGAAGGACCCTAAGGGACTTACCAGTGATGGCGTAGGAGGGACAGGGGAGGAGTGCAAGCATCCTGGGCAGGCTGGAGAGTCTGTGGGGTGGCACTTTCCCTAAAGCTCTGGCCTCAGCTGATATTAACATGCGGCGTTTCCCGAATAAATGGCTCCTCAAGCGCTTAGCTAATATCAGGGCCTCTGTGTTAATGGGACAGACAGTCTCATTAGCTGTATATCTTGGCTCATTTGCTGATATAGCAGCCCTGATCCATGTGCTAAAAATACCATGACCTCGATGCAGACCGGGTTCCACTGGGCATGTAGAAAGCTATTTCAGGTGACTGTCCCCTGGCTGCCGGGCCTGTACGGCGTGTAAAGTGAACCGGAGCTCTACCTGGGCTTCTCTCTCCCCAGGATGGCCCAGGTGGCTTTGCAAACCAGCCACTGTGTTGACACTTGAGTAACTTAAGCTGCCTGCCACCAGCGGTCCCCTCCCAACAGCGGTGGCTTGCACCTGGGCAGCGGGGCAGCGCAGGTGACTGAGGTGTTGGATTCAGCCGCCCCTCAGGTAGCGGTGACAGCGCCTGAGGCCCTGCCAGCCACAGCAGTTCTGGCTGCCCAGAAGACAGAGCTGGGCACACGGAGCCCCAGGCCCCCGCCCCGCCCCAGGGGACACTCAGAGCCTTCCTCATTTCCAGCCTGCCCTTCCTGTCCCGGGCCCGTGTGCTGTGGGTATGCCCAGGTCTGTGCCGCCTCCATGTGTCTTTCTGCTGATCACACCCCCTTTATCCCACATGGACTTAGGGAAACCCTCTTCACTCGGACACTGAGTGACATCGTGAACAAAGAAGACTTTGTGTTGGGTTCTGAGTATCTGATCACACTTCTGGTCATTGTCCCCAAGTAAGTGGCCTGGGAAGGTGGGCGGTTTGGGGTCTCAACCTGTGTTGGTGATCGTGGAAGGAAACTGGCCCTGCCCTATGGACAGGAAGGAGGGACCCCCCCATGGCCCGGATCCTGGGCCCTAAATGGCAGTTGTGTGGTGGTAACAGGAGTAGGTGACGGTGCTTGCACTGGTAATAGCAGTGACAGAAGCAGGCATTTCGTGAGCGCCTGCTATGTGTCAGATGCCACAGGCAGGCCCATTTCTCTCACAAGCCGGCAGGTGGGGGCTGGCCGTGGTCAGTGTCTCACAGGCCACGCGGGGCCGGGTGAGAACGCTCCCAGCTGGTCCCAGTGGCTGAGTCCTTCACCCAGGCCCTTCCGTGGTGCTCGGGGCCTCACGGGGATGCTGGGGGAGGCTTGGGGCTCTCTCTGGCCTCAGTCCTGCTCACCTCAATCCCTTGAGGGAAGACGTGTGCAGTGTCCTAAGCACTGATGAAGCCCCACAGCCTTTTCTGCAGAACTCACTGAATGATTCTGTGTTCTCACAGGCCAAGCTACATACAATGGCAAAAAACCTACGAATCCCTCTCAGACATGGTGGTCCCTCGGTCAACCAAGTAAGTGAGGTCCCCGCTTGACCCCAGGGCCCCTGGGAAACACGTGTGGGCCCTCTGGGGTACCCACCCACCAAACATTTGTGTCCCAAAGAGTCCCTTGGCCTGGAGCTCCTTTGCGGCCATACACCCAGCCACATGCCAGGCCCCTTCCCTCTTTCAGAACGCTGGCTCCCTGCCTAGCCTCCTTCGTACACTCTGTTCTGCCTTTTCAGCTGGGTGTCGATTCTTCCCCGCCTGAGGGTGAAGCAAGGGCCTGGCCACGATGGCTGCACAGTGTGGCAAGGGCGGAAAACAGTCTCAGCGTGTGGTCTGCCTGGGGTCAGAGCAGGAGCGAACAGTGAGGGCTGGAAAAGTGACGGAAGGGATAAAGGATTTATATTCAAGCCATGAATACCACACAACTGGGGAAAACCAACGATTTGGAGTTGCATACAGCAGCAGGAGTAGACCTCACTATGTGATGTTGAGTGGCAAAAGCAAGCTACAGACGATACATACAGCATGAAGTCATTTACTTAAAAAATGGACAAAACTAAACCACATGTGACTTGGGCATATGTGGTTGCACAGTAGGATTATGGGGGTGTTTGGGGATGAGAAACACCAAGCTCAGCACAGTGGTGACCTGGGGGCAGAGTTGGGGAAAAAGGACACAGGGTTTGGTTTCTATCGTATGACAATTGTTCGATGTCTTTATCTGGGTACATAGGAATGTGTTATTCTTTATGCCTTTTTGTTATATCTGAAATAGCTTGTAAGTTTAAAAGACTTGACAGTGAGGCTTGGACAGCCATGCTTGTTCACCTGCCTCCCAGCACACCGAGCTTGGCCTGAGGGCACCCCTGCCCACTCTCATCCCCGCCTGGAGGCCTCTGGCCTGGGGTGTCTGTTGCAAGGCTGTGTCTCCAAGGATCACAGACTCACAGCAGATAGCAATCAGGACTTAAAATGAGGGGTGCAGGGAACAGGATGGTCACAGCCTGAAGTCACATGGGAGGCTGGAGTAATGAGCCCAGGGCAGCCATGTCTGCAGTGGGAAGACGAGGGGGCACAGATGGGCAGAGGAGCTGGCATTGAAGCCGGCCTGATTGGCAGGAGACTGCCCTGCTCTCCAACGCTGCCTCTCTGTGGCCAAGTGCCGGGGACCCCAGCTGGGAGGGAGGCTTGGCTTTCAGACCAGAGCCCCCAGGCCCTGTGCTGTCAGAGGGCACCTGAGAATCTGCAGAGATGACTCTGGAAAGGTCTCTGGGGCCCAGGCTCAGTCCCTATGGATGTGGGCTCTGAGAAACAGGAGGTGTCACCGGCAAACATGCCCACAACAGCCTCCCTGGGCCCAAGGGCTCCTGTTATCAGGTCATCGGGCCAGCAGGACTCAACGACACTTAGGCCGCTGGTCCCAGCAACCCTTGTATCCTTGGGGACGGTGACCACAGTGGTTTTACATTGAGGCGTGCAGGGAAGCTGTGTCTAATTAGAAGACTGTGACATTGGATGTGAGAGGGCCTTTGTGAAATGGCTTCCACCAGCCGGAACTCGTCCGCCCTGCTTCCTTGTAACCACAGCACGTCAGAGCCGGGGCTCCGGTGTGCACACGAGGTTACTAAGACCCAGGAGCGGCTTGATCTCTCTGGCGTTTTGTGAACAGGAGCCAAACCGCAGGTCGCTGCACAGCTGGACTCCAGTCCTTCTCTCCTCGAGTGGCCTGCATTTAGATGGCCTGGAGGCAGGAGGCCTTAGGTGGGAGGGCAAGCGAGAGGGCGGGAGAGGAGGGAAAACAGCAGGCAGCCAAGAGCACAGAGCACAGCGAGAAGCAGTGGGGGAGGCGCTGGGTCCCCCCCGCCCTCGATGCTGTCAGGGCCCCTGTGCGTAGGCCACCAGGCTGAGGGGACAGAAGCCACCTCTGCGGTGACCTACCTGCCGAGGGGAAGGACAGCATGGGGACCTGGGAATCAGTCCAGCGAGCAGACACTTCTCTCCAACAGGTTGATTACTGAGGACAAGGAGGGCGGTCTCTTCACGGTGACCCTGTTTCGGAAAGTGATTGACGATTTCAAAACCAAAGCCAAAGAAAACAAGTAAGGGCCGTGGTGGGCTTCTCCGGGGTCTCTGCTCTGACTCTAAGCTTCGTAGTGAAAGCCTCTTGTTTGCTTGGTTTAAGGTTCACTGTCCGTGAATTTTACTATGATGAAAAAGAAATTAAAAGGGAAAGGGAAGAGATGACCAGATTGCTGTCTGATAAGAAGCAACAATATGTGAGTACATGGTATAGGCCGGTGGATTTTCAGGCAAGATGTTGAGTGGCCTCCTCGCGCCCCCACCAAAGGCCTCCGTTGTCCCCACGCACCCAGGAACATGTGCTCTCCTGGGCTTGCCAGAGCGGCGTCTGGGAAGAGGTGACAGGCGCAAGTAAGTGCGGCTCCTGAGCCGTGAGCCGTGTGCTGGGTGCCTTCCGTGCCAGATCTCACCTGGCACCGCCCTTCCAGGAAGGGACTCTTAGCTCAGTTTTGCAGATGAGAAATTGAAGCTCTGAGCGGTAATGAGCATTTGCCTGGGGAAGGGGGCCCTGCCTAAAGCCCCTGAGGTCGAGCGAAGCAGGCAGGGCCCCAGACAGAGCCATCGCCTCGGAGGGTGAGGCCAACAGCCACCCGGCTGTCTTCGGTGGTGTGATTTCTGGGTGTGATGTGACATCCTACACCACCAGCCCTGTGTGTTTAGCAAAGAGTGGGTGCTTATCCTTGAGACTTCTGACAATAGCCACTCAGAAACTTTTCAGTGTGAGGGCAGCTGAGCTCAAGAGGGAGATAACCAGACTTCCGTTTTTGAAACGTGAACAGTGTAGCTTAGGGCAAGTCACTCTACCACTTTGTAAAATGGGCACATTCCAGACGTGGTGCGCTGCAGAGAGGGGGTGCGGGTGGGGGTGATGGGGGTGGTTCCTGTCTGGGTGGGATAGTTTCAGGCCTCCTCCCCCAGCCCCACCAGGGCGCACTCTGGGAGCGCCTAAATCTGGTGCAGAGGAGGGAAAGAATGAGTAGAATGTACTCCAGGCCTCTCGGAGGAAAGCCCGTGTGTAAACATAAAGCCGTAAGTACGTGCTTGGGTGAAGAGCAAGAGCGCTTCCTCTGTGGCCAAGTGTTTGCCCTGAGCCTTCCCCGACGTCCAGCTAGGGCATTCTGCACGTCCCATCTGACCTGAGTCAATGGCCTTTTCAGAGGGACACCAGATAAGTCGCCCCTCAGGAGTGGGCGCTAGCTACGGGGCCCCTGAAACGGGGTTCTCAGAGCCCCGTTGGATGGGCCTGTCCCTTTTGAGAGGAAACGGGAACTGGCACATAAAAATGACTGTGGGGGACTTCAATCTTCCTCCCCCCGAGCATAAACACACACGTATGTGTATGGATGAATGTGCACACCAGATGAACACATATACTTTCTTAGATCCTCTGTGACAAAGGGCTGAGCGGGAGCCCTGGGCCTCAAACCCGCCCACGCAGACAGGAGAGGTGTTCACCAACCAGAGCCGAAACCCAAAAGGTTTCCTCCTGACCCGCAGCCCAAAGCCCTGATTGCCGGGGACACTCCAGCTATCTCTTTAGTTGAGCCTTTTCCCCGTTGCCTCAGTCCTGGCTACAAGCTCCCTCAGTGTGTATGGACAGGAGCCAGACAGTGGCAGCTTCCACAAGTGTCCAGGCAGTAGGCCCTGCTCAAAGGACAGGTGGTCAGGTTGGACCTTTGGCACCCATCTGTGTGCTGGCACAGACCCCCTGAGGATCAAAGTGACACACGAGCCCGACACCTGCCACCTGGGTCTCAAGTTGCCAGCTGGCACTTTTTTACATGGTGTAGACTTCTGCACCCCCACACTGCCCCGGGGAGCCTTGCCAGGGTCTCTCTGGCGCTCGGGAGGAGACACACTAACTCGGAAACATTTAGCCCCTTGCAATGTTCTCACTGTGTGCCAGTGAGCAGGGGACAGCTGGGGTAAGCCCCGCGCCAGCTTGAGAATCTCTTAGCCTGTTTGGAGGTGGGTATGGCCAGCATCCTGCATCCTTTTGGTTGCTTGTCAACCAGAGGGGCCTGGCTGGGTCCTGGGCATCATCAACGCCCTTTGAAAGCACAGGGTGGGATTTTCCTGAGCTTTCCACCTGTTTGAGAGAAAGATGATAAAGGGTGACACAACCTAACAGCATGCCTGATTGCTTTTCTGCAAGTAGCATGTTTAATTGCACCTGATCATCAAGGAAATTATCATGGGCTGGACTTGGTGGAGACACCTTGACCAAGTCCAGATAGACATGACAGACAGGCAGATCCACAGGCAGAGCCTTTTGCACTGACACCCCCCAGCTGTCCCTGTCCTTGTCTGCTGATGGGGGAAGGTCCTGACCGAGGCCAAGCAGAAGGAGGTGATGTGGGGACTGACCCCTCTGCCAGTGATTGGCTCTTTCCATGGAATATGGAACCAAACACTTTTAACACCCCCCCACCCAGGGGATGACGGTCACACATCACATCTCCATTCCACCCAGCACCGAGGTCCTGAGGGTGGGCCAGCATTCTTCAGCTTGCCTTCCCACGCTTTTCAGGCAATGAGAATTATTTCTGTGTGTTTGTGATGCATGTTTCCTGAAAGATTAATAAATCATTTCTGTGCCTTTAGCAAACTTCCTGTGTTGCTCTTAAAAAGGGATCATCTACCTTCCCGGACCACAAGGTTAAGGTAACCCCGCTAGGTAACCCTGATAGGCCCGCTGCGGGGCACACCGACAGAGAGAGAGAGTGTGAGGGCGAGGGTGAGGTAAGCAACCCCCCGGGAGCCCTGGGGTTCCCTGGCTCGCTTGTCCTCGCCAGCACAGGCATTTTCTGAGAAAACAAATCCTTGCATTTTCTGTTCTCTAATGTGGCTTTCGAGGTCTTCGAGGAGTCCAGGGCAATGTCTTCTTTCTAATCTGTAGGGCCGCTTTGGGGCTGCCTCAGCCCCTTCAGCAGTGGATGGTGCTTGTGGGCCAGGGTGCCTCTGCCCTGCCTGGAGGTGGCTGGAGCTGGTGACGGGGCAGGCCCTGGCTGGGGGAGGGGGGTGGGTCAGGCAGCTCTGCTGTCCTGTCCTGGTTGGACCCACCCCTGACCTTTGGGTAGTTGGAGGTATCAGGTGGGAGCTCAGAGCCTTTGCTCAAAAACTCTGAGCTCCCTAAGATGACCGGCCACACCAGCATTAGTGACAGCTGCCATGGCCCTGAGGGGTTGTGGTCATGTGAGGTCGGGCTGCTAGGAGCCCTCTGGAAATGGCAGCTGGTGGGTGACGCAGGGACTGGGCCAGAGCCTTCCAAGAAGGTGGGCCCCTCGGCAGCACAGTGTCAGATGGAAGCCTGTCAGCTGCCTGCTGAAAGCCCTGAGGTCAGGGGCTGCCCAGCCCCCCGCAGCCCAGTCTGAGGTGGCCCCACGCATGTGCCAGGTGGCTGGCGCGCTGAGCTACCCTGGCACCAGGCTCCCTGGAGAACGTGGTCCTGGGCCTCGCCTGGGCCTTGTCCGACCGACTTGCTGCTTCTGCTGGCCCCTGGGCATTCCTTCTCAGCTCAGGACTCGCTCTGCCAATCCTGTGTCCTTTCTTGGCTTCGCCTTGGGCAGAGTGGCTGGGGGGGCTTACGGCTCTCCTGTCTTTGCAGGGCCCCCTGCTGCGCTGGCTGAAGGTGAACTTCAGCGAAGCCTTTATTGCCTGGATCCACATCAAGGCACTGAGAGTGTTTGTGGAGTCCGTGCTCAGGTAGGTGGAGCAGGTGCCTGACCCGGGATGTCCTGCAGCTCTGGGGCCACCCGGGCTACCCTTCCCCGTTCTTCCATCCTCCTCAGGACACCTCCCTCTGTGCTTCCTGGCTCTTAGCAACGTGTTAGGATGCCCTGAGCCCAGTAAATCTTCCCTTGACCTTGAGGCCCCTGCTGTCTGTTGCTCTGTCCCTTTCCTGCCAGACTTGGGGCAAGTATCTCCTGCTCTCCCCCAGCTGGTCCCTCTGTGCACCCTGCCAGGGCCCGGGGACTCCTGGGAGAAATACCAGCATTCAGACCCTGACCTGTGAGGCCCAAACCCAAGGCAGCACAGAAGGTAAAACCCAAACCAAACCACCATCACCAAAACTTATTTTACCATTTTTTTTAACAAAAGCAAAATAGGTTCACTGTGGAAAATTTGGAAAGTATAGCCAAGCACAAAGAATGAATAAAAATCACCTGAAATTTTAACACCAAGTGAAAATACTGCCAACACGCTGGTGTATACTCTTTCAGGTTTTTGTTCTTTTGGCTTTTTTAATTTACAGATATGCATAATTTTTACTAAACTTCTATGAAAATGGAACGAAGCAGGAAATATTTCTCTGAAGCCTGCTTTTCAGCCCTGCCTTGAACATGTGCTGAGTTGTGCACACACGGCTGGCTGCACCCTTCTGGAAGCTTCTGAAAGCTTCTGGCCAGCAGACTCAGATGCTCCTCCAGGCCTCCGACCCTCTGGCGGTCCCCTGGCCCCTTCCCGGCCTGCACTGCAGGCTGCTCCATGATCCCCGCCTGGCTCTCCACCTGGCCGTCTGTCCCTCCTTTCCTGTTCCTGCCCATGCGTCCTTCCTGTGGCTCCCAGTCCTGCCATCTTCCTGACGTAGATTTCTCCTGGAGATCGGGCTTGTCTTTGCTCCCAGCTCCTTCCTCCCGCTTCCTTGTTTCTGCCAGTGGCTTCAAGTTCTTCCCGTCACCAGACCGCAAACCTCAGGGCCAGCGTGGACACCTCTGCTCCCTGGTCCTCACATCCAAGCCCCACTCGCGCCCCGCTCCACCACACACCGTCCAGCCCACCGGTGCTTCTTCCCTTCCCGCCTCAGCTTGCCTGGCTGTTGCCACAGGCTCCTACTTGGTCCATGAGGCTGCCAGTGTGGCTTTGTCCAAACACAGATCAGCTGTGTTTGCCCTTATCCTCCCGCCCCCATCTCAGAGGCCTGTAATGGCAAGGGTTGCAGTGCTGGGTTGAAGAGCGTACGTACTAGAGCTAACCTGGAGTGTTTTAGCCATCCATGGTGTAGATGGGCCCCAGACTGACCCTGCTTGCCTCAAAAATCAGTGCCCTGAATACAGCTGTATAATAAACACATGATCGGTGTAAAAAAAAAATGAAGTTCAGAAGAATATGCTGTGGGAAGGGTTCTCCGCGGTCCCACTGCCCATGATCATCACCATGAATGGTTTTGAGTCTCTTCTTATCCGCCAAATGGGACCGTTTACACGTAATATCCTGCAACTTGCTTTTCTCATCTGCTTTGTATTATAGTCTCATCAGTATGTGTAGAGCTACTTGATCCTTTTAAAGATTTTTTTCACATTCCATCCTATGGCGAGATCATAATCTCAGAAAATAGATGTTGAACAAGCGCATTAGAGCAGACAGACAGGTAACGTTCACCTGCGTCCTCTGGCCTCCTGTTGGTCTTCGCCCCAGTTAGTGCTTGTTGCTCCGTCTTCAACGGTTTTTGACCCTTTCCTCCGCTGGGAGCTGCATGGGAGGGCTGGGGCGGCCTGGCCTCTCTACCCTGATCATCCAGCCGGTCGGAAAGTAGGTGCCCAATGTCTGTGGACTAACCTCAAAGTGAAGGGGACCCTGCCCTCAGCTGAGGAAGCGCTAGTTCAACTCAGGGTGAAGTGAGCCAAGGGTTACATCAGCCGAGATGAAAATGGGAATGGGAATGGGCTGTGATTGGGGAAGGCAGCCACGGGGCTCACTGCTGGATCTGGGGTGAGGTCTTTGGGGGGGAGCAGATGAGGGACTCATCAGTGAGGATTGGTGTGTATGCATGCACTCACCCAAAGAGAGCCACAGAGAGGGAAGGAACCAAAGGGGCACCTCAGGGAACCCCAACACTTAAGCAGGGGAGGCAGAGAAGCCCGCAAGGAAGTCAGAGGCAGGAGGGATGAGTCAAAATGGAAGGTTAAGGTTCTCTCTGTCCCTGGGGTTGGGCTGTGAGGCAGCTGGCGGTGGGAGAAGCTGGAGTGTAGTGGCAAAGGGCGACTGGGTGACATAGGACACTGGATACTCAAGTTCGGAATGAGAGCTCCAGGGAGTTGAGGAAGTTTTAAACAGGGCAAGATGGTGGTATGTTAAAGGGGACAGAAGTGGAGATGGAACTCCTGCCGCAGTGAGGAGGTTCCAATATTCTCTGGAGGGGTGCAGGTTGAGGTAGTTCTGACACTTGGGTAGAGGAGAAGCAATTACAAACAGCCCACTGTCACGTACTGACGTTGACCTTCCTGCAGATCACACAGGCAATCTCAGTATTTTAGTGAACACCTTGCACCATCACCAGCCAGAAATGAGGACTGGGAGTTTGGGAGCCAGGGGATAATTTATGGACGTTGATGGGGAAATCAAAACTAAGTCATATTCACAGATCTTGCCCCTGTGAATCATTTGCATGTCAGGCAAGTCAGTGGGTATTCTCTTAAGGCCTCTTTCAACATCTGGCTCGAGGAACATGAAAACGTGTAGGGGATAAGTATGGACCATCTGAGCATTTGCTGATAGTATATTTTTAAAAAACCAGAGTCACAAAAATGCATGTTTTATTATTTATACAGTACTCAATTGTCTTTGGATAACAGCAAGGAATAGCTGCCAGCAAGTGATTTTAAATGGACTCAGGCATACAAAGTCCATTTAAAATCTTTTCTGTCCACCCTAACTCAACAAAAGGAATTAAGCTTGATGAATCATTTGGTTGTTGCTGCTGCTCTTTTACTGAAGAAAAATCAGCTGAGCTGGGTTTTAGGCAAAAGCTTTGGGTCAGAACCATCAGTCCAATCATCTCCATTCACCCTGCACAATGACCATGTAGTGACCACACACAGCCAGGGAAGGCTCCTTGGCCCCCGTCGAGAACTATCACTGTCAGGAGCGGGTTAGCGTGTTCTAGTGGTTTCTCTACCCAGAAAGGTCCAGTCATTTGTTTCACCCCTGGCCCTAGACATTTTCCTCAGCTGAGTTTTATTTCCTCAAGCTGCGTTGGCTAAAGCTTTTCCTTATTAGAACCTCGTCCAGTTAATTTTACTCTTATTTGCATTTGGAGTAACTTACACATTTTATCTGAGAAGGTATGGACTCCCAGTGAATTTTCAGGCTGTGCTCCTCCAGCCACATAAGAAGTCATCCACCAAGCGTTTAAGAGAGGTCCTGAACTCCGTCTTCAAACATCTGGATGAAGTCGCAGCTGCAAGTCTATTGGATGTAGGTATATGACCCACAAACAGCTGCCTTTAAATGGTCAGCCTCTCCACATGGGTGATACCTTTGCAAAATGATACTTGCGACTATTGTGAAAATCTCCATTTCACAAATATGAAAGTACCAAGAGGGTGCGTGTGTGGATTGGCGGCGAGGGGGGACTGTGCAGGGCAGAAAACATGGTCAGCGCCTAGAGAGCTTTCTCAAAACAATAAAAACCGGAAGCTAGCTGATGCACTTGGCACATGACCTTGTCTTCTTTTGCAGGCATCTGTGGAGATCCCTGGATTGCAGCTCAGTAACCAAGACTACTTCCCTTACGTCTACTTCCACATTGACCTTAGTCTTCTCGACTAGAACGAGCAGGCACCAGCCACTAAGCTTTCATTTCATGCAGACGACTACAGACACTCCTTCCCTCAGCCAGAAGAGTTCATGTCCTACAGAATTTAGATTTTTTTAGAGAAACTGCTCACGAAAGTTAGTTACAGTTGTATTTATTTTTTTGTAAGTTACAATAAATGCTCTGTCCTTTGAGTTGTGTCTTCACTCATATTCTAACTTAATTCCAAACTTCCTTTTTCCAAATGTTTGACACAAATGGGGACTGCCTACAAATTGGGAGCCTGCTGCTGTATTTCACGTCTTAATGGACATTTTGTGAGGACTTAGAAATAACATTAAAAACCTTGAGCTAACTGCATCACCAGCTATATTCCCTAATAGTCTGATGGACCAAAGAGAAAATATTGGGGATAGAATGCAGTTCTCAATTGACGACCTGTTGTTTTTCACCCTTCTATATAAACTCGCTTTACTTTTCAGACATACAGCTGGAACCTGGCTTTGCAGGACACATTTTAAAATCCGTGCTGTGGGAGGCGTCCAGATGGTGTCATCTGAGTCCCAAGTTTATAGAAAGGAAGACATCAGGGTCATCCCTTCATAATATTAACTTAGTGGCAAAACATCAGACTGAATTTATGATGTGGACACTGATTTCATACATTTGTTGGCATTGTCCAAAATATTGTTTTATTCTTTAATGGAAAAAAGCCATTAATATTCAAGTGAAAGAATCACATAAAAAACATATCTAAGAAACAGCCTCCAAGAACACTCAGCAGCAGTCAGCGGGAAGGAAAAGTGTTTCGACAGCCCATCAGTTTTCCTCAAAACATTACTTGACAGAACACAACCCAATTCGCTGGCTACAATTCATAGAATTTTTCATTGTTTTCTTGAGATGCAAAAGTTCACTGTTGCAGTGTTTTCAAATGACCGATCAAGTGCTACTTCTTGGTTCACAAGGCCACTGGCAGATTCATCTGATTGTAAAGAATGTTCCTTCACTGCTGGAAAAATCCGCTCCCAAGAAAAGTGAAGTCTGTGCCGAGCCTCACAGCTCGTCCTTCTCTAAGTCGTCCAGCTCCACATCGCTGAGATCAATGTCGTCTTCCACAGGAAGCTGCGAGACAGAACCGTCGTTAGGCCCTGCGTGCAGGTCTAGCGCACACCCAGACAGGGTGACCCTGGAAGTTCAACCCCCCACTTCACAGAGGCGCCCATTCATTTCTCGAGGTACCCCAGATTACAGAACCAGTTTCTGCCCAAGGCAGGTCTATTATATGGATGTTTGAAAAGCTGGGCACTTAAATGAAACATTTTACTGACAGCCATTTAACTTGTCCTTTCCAGGAGGATGGGGCGGAAGTGTACTGGAATAAACACTAATTTCAAAGACACAATTTTCCACTTCTGTAAGGTGAAGTAAATGAATCCCAGGTTAAATGTTTACTTTGGGGTGATAATCAGGAAAGTGACCTCATTATTGACATTTATCTTGGCTGTCTCTGTCAGGACTATCAAATGCCATGGACACTTAATGGGGAGGATGGGATGCGAGGTGCTGAGAAAAAGAACCTGCTGGAAGGCCCATGAGGTTATTTCTGGCATCATGCCAAGGTTAGGATTTGGTTTACAAGTAGCCAAGTGCACAGGGACGGGGAAGGCGGGAAGGATGGACCGGAGCCTGGTGGCGAGCCCCGCGCACAGGGACGGGGAAGGCGGGAAGGACGGAGGGGAGCCCGGTGGCGAGCCCCGCGCACAGCCTGGGTCCGACTCACCTCGCCATCCTTGCCATCCCAAGGCTCTCTGGTGCTGATGGTGGGGAAAGCCCCGCCTCCCACAGGTGCTGTGGATCCACGCCCAAAAGACAGCTCCCTTGGGGGAAAACAGCAAAACAAGGATGCAAGATAGTGCTGGTGCGGATGAAGACACAACTTGTAAAAGAATGATTCGCTCACTACATTTATGTGGAGGCATTTCTCGCCACTTGCTCCTGACAAACCTCATGCACAGTATTACCTTTTCAATCAGGGACGACAATACAACCAGGCATGAAACTCCTAAGGCCTTGGCATCAGGTAAAGCCAGTTACTACCAAAAACTTTTAAAAATCACAAATTCATTTTGTTAAAATACAAACTAATTATGTGAAAATTATCAAAGCCGACAGCTTAAGACCCGAGAAAGGCTTTTTGAAAGATGGTATCGTAACACTAAAATTCCATTCCTCTCCTCAGAAATCAAAGAGCGGACAGCACTTCAAAGCAGCCCAGACACTATGGACCTCTGGAAGACCTACAGGTGATGGTGGCATGCCTCTCACATCTCAGGCTGTCAGGCAGACAAGTTATCCCGTGGAACAGTGTTAGGTCTTGCCGTTGGCAGGCACTGACAGAAAACATCACTGGAAAAAGGCAGTCCCTAGCCTGAGAACAAGGCTTCCTTAAAGGAGCCTCCAAACAGCCTCTGGGAAAGGTTGCTTGGAATGTGAGTAAAAGAGGAAAAAAACCCAAGCAGGATATCAAGTTTCCTGTATGTGTTTGACAAGTTATTTGCATGGTGAGAAAAGTGGGTAAATGGCTACTTTGCATTTTTGACAATGTGTATCAGTGGTTCTTACATGGGGGCGATCTTTGCCCCAGGGGACATTTGGCAATGTCCGGAGACATTTCTGACTGTCACAACTCTGTGTGTGGGTCTCCTGGCATCTGGGGGGTGGAGGTCAGGGATGCTGCTAAACATCCTACAGTGCACAGGACAAGAAAGAATGATCTGGCCCCAAAGGTCAAAGAGTGCCAAGGTCGAGAAATCTTGATGTGAACGTATCAGTTACATTCAGAAAACAGGATAAATATGCTCGAAAAACCCACTTCACTGCCATTCACTGAACTGTTAATTAGTATAACACAGGACAGGATGCTGACTACCGTGCTGATGTGTGGGCAGAATCAGGAAGTATTTGGCATAGTAAGTGCCTCACAGTCTGTCTAAAATCTATGCAAGAACAGTGGCTCATTTTACTAGGAAGGGGCACAGACCAATCCAAGCTCTGGCTTATGTGGGAAATATAAACCCCCGTGAACAATAAAAAGAAAGCCAGTGGTCCTACTTCTTGCTAGTTTTGTGTCCTTAATCAGGTTATTTTCCATTTCTGACATCAGCCTCCTCATAGGTAAAATACCAGGATGTATCTGCTATTGGGACATTCGGTGGATGGATGGTGCTCAGAAACGAAAAGCTTCCTACTCCATGTCAGACTAATGGCAAGATGCCAAACCTCCCTTAAACAAAGTGCTGAGGGAACTGTGCCCACAGAGCAGAGTTCAGTAATTTAAAAGCAAGTTTTTCGATAGCTCATTTCTGTTCTTCCCCTCGGCCACCATTTTCTTCTTTGGGCTAAACGCTAACAGATCTCTCTTCTAAGTAAGGAACCTGGATTAACATGGCTGCTGTTTTCAGACAAAACAGCCACGAAGTGATATGAAATCCAAGTCCTTTCTTCACTTTCGGGAGCATAACACACAATTACATCCTTTTATTTTTCCAGCCGCTTCTCCAAGAGGAACACGGTATGATATTTTCAAGGGAAGAAGCAGGAATCACTAATGTCTTGGGTCGACCCCAGTTTTCAATTGCCACTACTACACTTATAAATTGCTTAAACTCGTACAGACTGTTTGACAAAGTGCACGTTTGCGCCGATGGCACCTTTGGCTTTCCAGTAGTCGGACTGCAGCAGGTCTGTGCTTCTCTCGAGGTCGCACGCAGCCGGCTGCTGCACCAGCTCTCCGCCAGGCCCAAGCGTGGCCTGTTGGAAGCAGTCTCCTCACGGCGATGTGCTCGGCACATGCTTAGTCTCAGAAACCAAGATTCACGTGTAGCCAGAAACAAGCATACTGAAACATATTTTGTTTCCTTCCTATTCATCACCACATACTTTCCTCCGCTGGTAACCGGGTGGGTTCTGAGATTTTCCGCCACCTCCAAGACACAAAGTTTAAGAACCAGTGGCCTGTACAATCTCAAGAACAAAAGTTAACTGTGGTCTCAGGTTTACAACATGCTACTGTTCCCTGTACCTTTTCCATGAAGCATTTACCTCCTCTGAACTACAAAATCCAACCAACTGGAAAAAGAAAACTGGTTGAAAATAAATGTGAATAAAATTAAAGCTGGGGTTAGAACTTGTAATTGCCAGTAAATGAGCCCAAAGGCGCCATCTCCTCGTTATTCTTACGCATTTCCTAAGGCTTTCAGCATTGGAATTAGCAGTTGAAAACGGATGAAGTACATTTTATAAATGGTCTTCCTATCAATGTGCCACATCCTGTTCAACAGTAAGCTTCCTGAAGGCAGAGAAGTCTTTCTGAATTGAAACTTGGTTCCAGAAACAAGAATTCAACCAACCATTCATTCATAAAATATTTACCAAGAGCTTATTATCAGCCAGGCTCTATAGTAGTGACTAGAGATGAAGTTCCATGTGAGAGAGATTCACCCTTGGGGAACTCAGTAATGGGGAAGAGGTAATCAAATTACCACACATCTGAGAAAAAATACAGGGTGAATGCCTTGTATTTGCTTAAAAGGTGATTCGGTTTTAGGATGAGTTGAATAGCAGGGCAGCATAGAGAGCTCTCTCTATAAATTGGATTTTGAGTTTGAGAACCTATCGTGTGGTTGCCCATTATTACAGTCTCTTAGTAAGTACACCTATTTTTAAGTAACTACATTCTAAAGCCAGTGCCTGGAAATGGAAACCATCTCATGTGAGGTCAAGGGTACAAAGCATGCTCAGGTGGGAATGGGTGAGACAGGGCTGCTTCTCGCTCATTAGATCTTTATGAAAATCAGCAAGAGCCCAATGCCAACTGCACAGAGTGACAATAACCCAAGGACAGGAAAAGTATTAGCATCATTCGCTATGTAGAATACTTCCATGAAAAAGAGAAAAAACGCAGGAAGATGATTTGAAGGTTCAAATTTATAAACATCTAATTCTCCAGACTGTCAAATGCAAAAATCATTCTATTTATTGCCTGGTCTATATAAACCTAGTTTTGAACCAAAAAAACCAGACCAAATAGAACAAGTCGAAAGAGCAAAAAATTACCTGAGAAACTCATTAATGCCTTGCTCACTAAAAGATCCCTTTAGAAGAGCAAATTTCATCTTGCGTGCGTTAATGGCTGCCATGGCAGGGTATCCGAACCCTCCAATTCCCAACGCAGTCTCAAGTTCAGGCTGGGCTCCAGCTTCTGTCCACAGCCACCTAGAAAAGCAGATTCGTTTTCAGGGCAAAGATCCCTTTCAAATTAGTTAGAATCTAAACAGCAGACCTTAATTAAAGAACAAAAGATTATACTTCAAATATTTTATGGAATGAAATAAAAACAAAGGCAAGTTTTTAAAAATAATATATTCTAGATGTTCTTAAGTAACTACAGTTCCTCTCCCTAAACCCTAACTCCAGGAGTCCCGCTAATGGATTGCTCTACCTATAAGACAGTTTGCTGCCAGTCTCCAAAATATTGTGCACTAAACCTCATAAATTTTCTATCCTTGTTACCAATATCATTTAGGCTATTATTCTTTAAAAAGCGTAATAACTTCTTTTAAAAAAGTAATGGATATGTTGTTATTCAATACATATAAAAATGCTCAACCAAATTCCTTCTGCGAAGGTGTAAATGAAAAACGTTAGGATGCAGCCTTCTATAGGCACACAGCCAATCACTTTTGTTGAACTAACAGGAGGCACAAAGCCACTGTGAGAGGGACAGCAGGGAGCACGGGGTACCTGGGACCACAAGGAATGTTGATGAGAAAGAAAAAGATGATTGGAAAGGAGACAGAGGCACACTTTGCCTAAAATTTTGCGTCGATCTGGCCCTCACTCAGAAGAGGGTAAAGAAACACGCCTCTATCTCTTCTTTCTCTATCTAGCCTTCAAAGTCCTGCTAGAATTCAGCTAATTAAGTTTTTGCTTGCTAGCCTGGGGCCCCAACCACCACTGAGAATATAAGTTCTGAGAAAAAGCACGCTGTACAAATAAGTGCTTTATAAACGAGAGACCTGCATTACTTCTTTTCTTTCTAGGTGATCATTATTTTTATATCTTAAATAAAAAAATATGCCAAAGCGAACACAGGGGCCACTCATCCTACAGAAAACGGAGGGAACTATTAATAGACACTTTCGAGAAGCACCACACCTTCCTACCCAAGTGACACTGAGATAATAACATTCAGTAACTTACCCCCACATTTTCTTTTTGTATTTGTCTGCCAATTTCAGAAGAACTTCCAAATAAGAATTTCGGCCTGTAGCTCCTGATTTAAACAGACAAAATGTTTAAAGATAAAAATAAAGGAATCTGTACATTAACTGATTTAGAAAGTGTTGTCAGGGCAGGCAGCACAGAACAATGAATGGAAAGTGAGTTTCTGTTCCTCGTACCAGTATCGAGGATATGGGGCAGCACAGCCACGACGCAGAGCTGGTGTTCCTCACATGTCTTCTTGGCGACGTCCTCGTTGATGATCTGTGGGACCCAGAAGACAAGGGATAGTTAGAAGGCCACATGACACAAGACCACAGATATGCTTGAAACAGACTTAGCACCATCACTTTCATTAATGAGCAAAGCAATTCCAGGGATGGGTAAGACTTCTCCCGAAGAACATGTCCTCGCTCGCGTTCTAGAAAACACTGCCAGTAACGCCTTGTTAAGATCTCCGCTATTCATTCCTGAGCCACCTACCTGCGGCAGTGAGGCACCTGCATCTACAGTCTCTGAAGTGAGAATGCCAGTGGCTCAGACACTTGGTCAGTTAGATAGCCAGACAGACAGACATGTTTACATGCATTATATAGTTATAGGAATTTGAGGTTCTCTGGGCCTCAGTTTCTTCACATGTAAAATGGGGATTAAAAATTGTCTAAGTGTTCACATGATAATTAAGTGAGAAAAGCTACACAAAAGCTCCAGAATGGTGCCTGTAATTAATGTTAGCTATTATTTTGAGAATGAAAAATGAAAGACCCGTTCTATTTTTAAGAAGCTTAGGTACACTTTTGTTCACAGTGCAATTACTTTAGTGCTAAAAGTTATGAAAAGCAGCAATTTATCAGACAGGTTCTGTCCACTTGAAAATACAAAAAACACTTTCAAGATCATTTTAAAAGAGCTTCATTTGAAAAGATTAAGAAGTGTCACAACTGCTTTAATATCCCGACTAGAAAAGCTTTCCTTACTTCGAATGACGGACATGGTTTACCTCAAGCAGCTCAGGAGGTGGAGCATTATCAGAAAACAAATCGAGGGCCCGGGAGACAATGTCGGATCTTGTCCGCCCTCCGTCATAATCCACAGGAGACTCGCCTTTCTGAAATATCTTGATTGTAGGAAATCCCCTGATCTATTTTTAAAAATTCAAATTCACATTTATAAGAAGTAAGGTGATCTTTATGGTTTCTAAAACCACCTCTAAGTAATTCAGTTTAACAAAAATATTCCACCCACTCCCCACCCTGCTACAGCCTGCAATGATGTCAAAGGGAAGACACACAGAGGTCTGTTGGTCAGGGGGTTTTAACAGTCTGACTGCCAGGCATAGCCAAATCTTATTCAAACCCTGGATATACACTTAATATATCTACTCTAGAACAAACAAACCAACTTCAAAAGCCCTACGGACAACTTGTGAAAGCTTGGGCTTGTAAAGGCTGAAGGCTCACATTAAGCACACGGAAATAGTGAAATACTGGGAAAAAGCAGACCAACAGTCATGATTTCTGGACTTATTTGTTGTTAAGTTACAATAAAGTGACTTAATATTGTCATTGCAGAAAGGCTCAACACCTCCCCTCCTACCTCACAGGGAGGCCTAGCGTGCTGGTGAAGTAACAGCTGAAAATCCGTGTTTCACAAAGAAAAGAGCCTCGTAAACATACTCACGCCGTATCGGCTGGCTAGCACCTGATTCACCGTAGCGTCCACGGCCGCAAGCTTCACTTTTCCTTTCGTTTGTTCTTTTACCTCTGTAGCTGCAGCAGCCCATTCTGGCTCTAGGCTACAGAAAAACATTTTAACGCTCAGCACAAATACTTTAACTGATGTGTGCATTTCTGCCCAGCCCAGTTACATCACACTTGGAAAACATTTTCAGTGTAGCTTTATGAAAAACATGATGCTACCCTTCATTTTTGCTTCCCGGTCCTTTGTCACTCCTTCCAAATTTGCTAGCTCCCTGCTGCTCTTTGAAAATATGACCAAGGACACTCTTGGCACTAATGCCAATGTTTACCACTGAGTCAGAGTCAGAGCTTCTCGGGAGGCGATATCGGGGATACCTATGATCTGGTTCAGTTCTTTCAAAGGGACCTCATTTATATGTGGAATCTTAAAAAACAAACAAACAAAACCCCCAAAAAACCAACCAAGCTCCTAGATACAGAGAACGAATTGAGGGTTACCAGAGGCAGGGTGAAGGGGTGGGCAAAATGAGTGAAGATGGTCAAAACCAAAACAAATAATCTCCACAAAACTCAAATTGAGCTAGATGTATTAAAAGCACCATGATTTTAACAAGTACTTGCTAAAAAGCACTTACTTTTTACAGTGTCCACACCAAGGAGCGTAGAACTCAACCATCCAAACATCTTCACTGTCCAGGACATTCTTATCAAAGCTGTCATCAGTCAGCTCAATCACGTCTTTCTTACTTGAACTTTCACTTCTGCCCTGTCATTGTGACATTAAACATTAAACTACATGGCCAAAAAGAACATGATTCCTATTCTAAATACACATAAAACAAAAATCGCTTCTACATTTTAACGAAGTTTTTCTTTCAAGTGAAAACTACTTTACTCAAGTTGGGGACATGGTATGATAGTAACAGTATTATTTGTGCTTGGTAGACAGTATTTACTTTAAAACAATTACCAGTACATTCAGAATAACATACAACATGATCTGAATTCTGTCACTATTTTTAAGAGAAACTTCAACGTGGCTTAAAGAATCACCTTAGTAACACTATTTTATTGTAATTCAGACTTAAGCACAGCTGCTGGTTTATCCCAGGATGTTATACATAACTACAGTTACTGCTTTTTCATAAAGTCTCTGCCATTCAAAAAAAGTAAAAATAACATTTAACCCTTTTCCTTTTACAATTTTCTTCAGTACTAAGCCTAAGAATTTAATGCCTTTTCACAAGAACATAAGCATATCTCAGCTAAACATCACATTTCATACCAGGGCATCTAATACACCAATTCATAGAAGAGAAACGTCTTTCTCTTCTTCCCTATGCATTTATGTAGAACTTTCCATGGGTTTTGGGCTGGCTGCCACAGACACAGGCCAAGAGGTCACCCCAAAGTCGATCTGCAGGAGGGCCGGCCTCTTTCTTTGCACTTTGGAACATGGCCTAGGACTTTCTCCCTCTGCAGTCCCAACTCTTCTATTTCAGCCCTGGGCTGAGGAAGCTTCTCTGGGGCCTGGTTCTTGGCCTGTCGTTGTGGCGAGCTGCCCTGGGACTGACTGGCTATGGTGACGGTGATTCTGAGTAGGCCAAATGAGCAGGACAGCTGACTCCCTCTGGTGTCAGGTGACCTAACCTTCAATTATTTTTAAATAGCAAGTTCACCAATTTAAAATGCTTAAAAACACACACACACAACTATCTTCTACAAGGGGTCCACTCGGGCTTCCCAATCTTCACACACTACAAGCCGACATTACGGAGCCTTACTTGTCTCCCAGAACTGTATCCACCACCCCTTCCAGCAAGGCGATCTTTCACAAGCTGGCGCACAGCACTCAGGGCAGCATCGACGATGGCCTCGGCCGTTCTGCCACCTACAGGAAGACAGAGGACGAGCAGCTGCAATGGTGGTGGGCGGGCTGTGCGCCTACCCAGCACTGAGACTCAAGACTTGACCTTCACATATTTGTCAGCTTCATCTGATGTTTAAACAGGTCTGTCACCACGTGTTTAGCACAGAGCCAACTCCTCCCCATGAAGCATTCTGCACTGCACTTTACACTCGGAAAACCAACTCCTCTTCTGCAGTTCAGGCTATTAGTGTGAACAAGAACTTCCTGTGCATTTATAAATACCATCTACTAGAAATTCAAAATGTCTGCCGAACAAATAACATGTACACCGATGGATAAGAAGCTTTTTTATTTAGTTAAGAAAGCAAAGGAAATTTCAAAATACAAAAGGATCAAATGAGAAAATAGAAGAAACTATTTCTATGAGATAATGGACAGAAAAGACTGTGGAAAAAACAAGAGGTCTAAAATCTATTAACTGGAAATCAATCCAGGCTTCTTATTGCAATCTTGCTTAAAACGTTGAGATTTTGAGTGCTTAGGCTCCGCAGCTGAACTTACTCCTAATACAAGTAACAAACCCCATATTAAGACTCAATAATGACAACAGTCTTTGGAAGTTTACCGAAACCTATATGCTCAAGAAAAAGTCAGGGGGCCATTAACTGACTCACAAGTATAAGGACCGCATGTGCCATGAGGTGATCTTCAGAGTTTAAATGCAAAACTCTAATAAAATCTCTTCAGAAAGTTTTGTTTTTTAAAATGAGTTTTCTAATCAAACTACCTAGGAAGAGAGAAAAATTGAGAACACCTCAGACCTGACATTAGAAAGAAAACAGTACAGCAACGTTCAGAATATGCTCATATCAGCTAGTACTGCAACCCTGGTTGAAGGCACCACCAAGCGTGTCACTTCATAACCAGAAGGGCCACATAAAAACAGGCTTCCACTCCTTATCTACAGCAGAAACCAGGGCCTCTTCCACCAACCTTTACCTGGAAATATACCAAGTCAAGGAATAGGCTAGCAAAAAAGACAGAATTTTCTCACTCCAGACTAAGGGTCAGCAAATGATTACAAAAACAGGCAGCAGGCCCAAGGCCAATCTCGACTCTAAACATTCCATTTTTATAAGTTAGCAGGACAAATTATTATTCTCAGAAAAATGAAATGATCACTTCATGGAACTTCAGAGTTGGGGAGTCTAGAAGGAAGGGTGTGTCTAAGGCCTTGCTTATCTCCAGTATCTTGCCCCCCAGCTTGGGGATGAACTACACTGGTATTTACCAAGTCATGTGCTTTACATGTACTATTTCAGTGAACCTTCTAGTAGCCTAAAGTAGGTTTCCACATTCCCATGTTACAGATAAGAAGCTGGTCTAAAGAGTTAAGTATTCCATTTAGTTATGAAGCCAGAGTGTGATGAGGCCAGCAGTTAAAGCCAGGTCGGCTGTCATCAAAGTCACACTCTGTTACAGATGCTGCAATCCCTTTGTGTTCCCTTTTCTAAGAATGTTTTCTCCATCAGCTGCATACAATGACGCCACCAAGTCCAGAGAATACAACAACACTTTGTGTCACCGTGGCACACTGACTCTTCCCCCCAATCCCATTACTCCGCAAGCTTGTTTTTCTCACATAAAGCAAAACCTAAGATGTTTGACTCTACATTTAGTCACTTCTATGTCCTATGTAACAAAATCTTAAAAAAGATTTTATCAAATGAACCATAATTTTAACTTTAAATATATTACGCCCAATACTTTTTATCAGGACCATGAATATGGCTCAACCCAGCATTTCTGATTATCTTAAATATGATGACTTGTTTGTGAGATCTTAAGTCACAGGGCTAGTCCATAAGAGAATGGAGAGACGAGGATAACATTTAGCCCCAAGAATCTGGAGCCAGAATTCTTAGCTGCCTCGGTGACTAATAGCAGATACTCATATTTACTTATCTACGAAACAGGGAGTCGTTTGGGACACTAAATAACAGCTTTCATACTATATGTTACAAGGCATACAGATTCATGGGTGAAATACTCCACAGTAACATCAACAGTTTACTCTGACTTTCAAATTACAGGGCCTTCTGTTTTCCGCACTGCTAAGCTAGACCCTTTTCCTAAGCTGAGGGAAGAGAGATCACAGCAAGAAAACATTTGTAAATCTTTATTAAATATTATGTAACTAGTATTTTTTTTTTTAATTTTGAGTAAGATAAAAAGGAAGCACAGAACATTATTACTCTATCACTGCTAAGGCCATGTAGGCCTAAACTAGTATGAACAATAAGAAAACTTTTACCTGTATAGGAATCACTCTGTGCCATTTTAGAGCTAAGGAAATTCAGGCACAAAGAGGCCAGGAAACTTGCAGGTAGCAGAGCTAGTAAGTTCTAGAATCCTAGTTCTCTCCTATTTTTTCCCTACCTGCTCAAATGAAAAGTCCAACCGGGGGAAGGAGTAGTTAGCAGAGTCCTTACCCTGATAATCTTCTGGTCTGTTTTTGTTGGATCCAAAAATCTTGATGGTAGGGAATCCCTGCACCCCATACTGGCCTCCGAGGGACTGATGTTTATCTGCGTCAACTGCACCCACTTTGACAACACCCTATGAGAACAGGAAAGAAATATCTATGTTTCTTTCAACTGGAGCAGATGCCACAAGAACCCATCATCTGATTCATGGACTCAGAGACAAGATACCGAAGGACAGGGTTAGGTTTACAAACAGAACGAAAGAGGGTTTAGTCTGGGAAACCACTCCTAAGTGGAATGATGGGTAAAACGCAAGTTGGCCCATGGAGGGAAATGCTGTAGCTCTCAGAATTAGCATGATGAAGAGTAATTATGTCATTTAGCTAAGAAACAGAATCAATAAAAATAGACAACATAAAAGTAAAATGTGTATTATCCCTTTGCTCCCTATATGATTTTGGCACCAGACATGGGTTTTGAGCTTCAATATGCAAATTAACTTCCCATTGTACATTAAACCTATTTACATACTTTAAACATACACAGGTGAATGTGGACATCTTAAAAACTTACTTTTAATGCAGTTGATACTTTCTTCCATTCTGGTGTTAACCTTTGGCAGTGGCCACACCTTTTAGGAGATAAAAACACAAATAAGGCAATAGTTAATGTCTTTGGTCCCCAATTCAAAAATCACCCAGCAGCAGTCTACTGGGTGACAGGCAGAGGGGTACGGGCTTGCAGGGAGTATGAGCACCAATACAACACGATCCGTGACGTGAAGGAGCTCACGCCTTTTCATCTTGTTATCTAAAAACACTTCTAAATTACGGCTCAATTAAATTACATCCAAAGAGTTTAAACAAACGCTCACTCCTAACTCTATAGCTAAGCAGGAGCTTTAGCATGTATCTGGTCAAGTGTGCCTCAACGTGTGGTTTGAATTTAAAGGCTGGGCAAAAATGCAGATTCTTGGGCCCCAAGCAATTACAGCTCCAAAAAAAGTGGTTCAGGAATCTATATTTTAATAAGTTCTGCTAGTGATTCTTAAACCTATTAAGGTTTGATATTCCCTGATCTAGTCCAACCTTTTCATTTTACAGACGAGATTACTGTATCAGAGCCTAAATCTCAATGTGCTTTGGCTCCCGAGGCAGCTTATGGAGTTAAAAAATGCACACACAATCCCAAATTAGTACACCTAACAAGTGGGAAAGCACGGGACACAGGCAAGAGTGCGGCAGAGACAGAAACAAGACCACAAGGGGAAAACCACCTAATCTTTTAGGGACTAGTCTTTGAAGATGTTATGAACTATAACACGCTAGAAAAGTGCTTTTTACAAATGATCATACACACACAAGCTTGTGATGTTTATACCTTTTGAGGAGACTATATTGTTCGTGTTCATTGTTTTATAATATCCATCATATGAAAATACCACAGTCTATCCATAGGTGATTTGGTTTTTTAAAAACAAAGTAAATTCTTTTTTAATTAGGTCTCTAAGGACCTAAGGAGCACATGCCACGTGCCAGCACCCTGATGAGCACTCTTCACATAGGATTTCATTCAATCAGCACAGCCACGCTGAAGGCAGGCCCGGCTGTTTTCATCTTACAGATGAAGAAGCAGAGGCTGAGATGTGAAGAAACCTACCCAACTTCACAGTCACAGTGGCAGCGTTAACTGACAGACTACTCCAGATGCCACATTCGGCATCATTATGGAACACATTAATCCCGTATTTCAAAATCTCTCAAGGAAATGTCCTGAATTGCTGCTTCTATGCACTTACAGAGTATGTTTTGGTGTTTAGGTGAGCTACTTAGAAGTCCAGGAGTCAAACTTTTACAGGACGTTGTGCCTCTTTAATTTCAGTTTATCATATGAAAGAAAGACTCGAATCAGAGATTATCAGAGTATATACACCTTCAATTTCAATGTTGAGCAATGTAAAGACAGACCAAAATGCCACATAAATATAAATAGAGCATACCCTCTAACCCGAGGGTTCTTCACCTGAGGTCCACAGACACCCACCCTCCCCCAAAGGATTGTGGAGAAAAACTTAGGGCCTCTGTGAACTTTGATGGCAACAGCCCCCTCTATTGTCACCAGCCTGTAACTGACATTCCGAATTTCCTTCAGTTCTGAACATGAATAGCAAGCCACAGTTGGCTCGTTCCTTGTGACTTTGTCCTGTCAGCACCACAGTGCTGCAGATATCTTTAAACATCATCCGTGCTGACTACTTGAGAACTCGGGTAGCCGATGGATCTGCTGCTGGAGCAGTCTGTACTGTCCTAGGAAAGGAGGACTACAACCATAGACAATTTATTGGACTATCTTCATTGTTATTTTAATATTTTAGGTTTCCTTTGTGATCCTGTGTGCTTTATTTGCTACACCAAAAACCTTTATTCTAGGAAGGGATTCACAGCCTTCATCAAGTTGCCAATGTCCAAGCACAAAGAGGTTCAAGACGCCTGCTCTCCTTCGACATTTTCGGACCCAGAGCACCACCAAGCATAGCTCTGCCCGTGCGACAGTCAGTTAACCACCGGATCCAGACCTGGTCGTTGGTGCTGTCTGGTTTAGTTTCGGGAATGAGGCATATTTTCGTATATCACAGCTCCCAGAAACAAGGTAAATCATTCATGCCATAAATGATAAAGATCAAACTTGTAAAAACTGCACAGCACAGCATTCAACAATATAACAGTTTGTACAATTACTATCTGTGCGTTTACTAATACAAATAAAACTAAGCCATACAGAATTCTCATCTGGATTTAACAACCGAAAAACACACTGGAGCTTTTAAAAAAATAATAAAGGCATTAAGATGAACAGTATTTACAACGTGGCAACATAAACTTTGAAAGTGGCGAGTTTTATCTTAATTTGCTACACTGAACATTAAGTGAAATGCTCCATAAGCCTGGTATTGTTTCTAAAACTCAGTTTCATGGTCTTCCAGGAAGAAAAAGCAATGAAGGAAAACCTTTCATCAGGAATACCCTAAAATGCACCCACTCAGAGAAGAAGTTGACTGACTTCCCTACATGAGCTTCAAAGGCACAGTTCACACCTAAAAGGACTACCTGGAGCTCAGGTCAGCATGCAGTTCATCTGCACAGATACACAGCTGGCTGGTGCTCGGCCTCCTCTCGGGAAGACCACTCGTTTACAGTAGTGACAGTCTCGTGCACATTTCACACCAATTTCATTGATCTGTCTCTATACTTCTATTTGTTGAGTTTTTGTTTTGTTTTGTTTGCATTAAATGTTTTAACTACATACCGTACTCTGACTATATATAATTGTATACCATTAATTTCAATGATAATTACATCTTTACCCCACAAGGGTTTCCCCCCCCACAATGAATGTAAGGCAAGAGAAGAATTTTTAAATTAAACCATTCTCTAATTACATATTTCTGGAAGCAATCTCTTTCAAGAAACAAAACGGAGTCAATCACTGGTTCTTCCCTTTCCTTTGCCCAGTCTTCTTTCTTCGTAAAATCAGTTTCCCTTCCATCTCCATCTTACTTACATCATCTTAAAATTATAAGAGTTTTTTCTCTTTCTTTTTTCCTGCTTAGCTACTTCAACCATTTTTTTCCAATCGACTCAATGTCCATAGCCTTTAACAGACAACACTTCGTGGAGTTTTCCATGTCCCTCTCTACTTCTTTTAAACAAACAGTAAACTAGATGAACTAGATAGCTGAATAAAATCACATTTTTATATAGTATCTTTCCTTATAAAGTACCATAAATAACTGAAGTATTTTATAATACTTACCACGGAGCATAGAATTCTACAAGCCACAAACTATCACTTTGAATAACTTCTTGGTTGAAATTTGATGGAGTTAATTCGATTACATCATCACTGGAGGAATACAGACCATTCACTGCAAGAAGGCAAGTACAGCTCACCAGACCTGGAGAAACCACCAAAGCACATCATTAACGGCAGGGTTCCTGCTGACCGGAAACCCAGGTGATGAGGGTCTCCTTCAACTGACCAAGGCCTCCATACAGCACAGGAGGCCAGCCCGGGTCAGGTCCCTCCTAACCCTGGGCCCCTGCTCTCTTGCTGCTGTTGGAGCCCCTGGAATTTTACTCCCACTAGGGCAGTGCCAAACAAGGAAACACAGTCCACGCTCTCGTCTCTTGAGCTGCACTGAAAAAAGGTTTAATTATTATTCTTAGTGCTTTTCATGTATTAACACCTTCATTCTCTACAACCACACTACGAGGCAGTACTATTACAGCCATTTTATGGGCAAGGACACTGAAAAACTGGGAGGTTATGTCTAGCCTTGTGATCTTGGGTAATCCCTACAGTATTTACTTCTTGTGCTGTTCAGTTGCAATATTAGCACACTATCTTTATTAAAGCTATTTTTGAAGGGAAACATAATTATTTGTCTCTCCTACTAGACTAGGACTCTCTCAAGGGCAATGATTGTTTTTACAAATATTTTTATTTCTGCTAACACTATTGATGGCACATCACCAGGCACTCACAATGCTGCTGGATGAGCTTAAAAGAAATTTCATGTGAATAATGTTATAAAGGGAAGACTGTTTATTGTATTATTAATGGCATAGTTTAGCCACACTGTGGACTAAGTATACTTCTGTTGGCCACTCTGGGAACTTAAATGCAGTTTATAACAACTACATAGGAAAACAAGTTCTAAATTGACTTATGAATATTTTAAGAATTCAAAAGCCCTTTGAATTGTTAATACTATAAAAATTTTACCTCCATTTAAATTCATGTATTTCTTTATGTTTTCTAATTGCACTAATTCCACCAGAACAATGCTAAATAATGAAATGTTCTTGACTCTGCCAAGAATATCTTTCCACTTGCATGATGCTGGCTTTTGGGTTGAAGCAGATAAATTATATGATATTAAAGAAATTTCTATTATTGTCTTTTCAGCACCTATGAAGATGATCATATAATTTATTTCTTTTAATCTATCAATACAACAAATTAAAAGTGAGAATGACCTGTATTCCAAGGTAGTGTGTGTGTGTGTGTGTATATGTCATCTCAGTCACGTTTTCATATGCTTCCTTTGTAAACAGCATTTGGAAGATTTCAAATGGAACTATTTTTGAATAACCCAATGGTAAATTTCTCTGGAAGGAATGCACACCAATGTTAACTGTGCTATTGCTAAATATTCTATCAGAGACTTACACGGTGCTTTCAATTTTCAAATCACTTTCAAATACATTAGGTCACTTGATTTTTCACAGTGTTATTAACTAGAAAGCAGGAATCATCCCTATTTTGTGAATATGGAAGTGAAGGCAGAGTGAGACCCAGCGGCCCATCTATGACCACACATGTAAGCGGCAGAGCAGCTCTGACTTCTATTTCCAAGTTTTCCCCATTAAACCACATTCTTTTTAGTGCTCAAGACAAAAAAGTTCAGTGTGCCGGGCATGAATAAACAATCACATTGTTTAATAATACTGCATTTGAATTAGAGAGAATGCTAATGTAGGAACTCCTGAAATAAAACTGGATTTTACTAATGGTTACGTGAAGCCACTAAAGGGTTATCATGTGCGCGTGGGCTAGGGGTATGATCAGATTTGCTTTCTAGAAAGTGTTCTGGCTGCAGTGTGGGTGGATGGGGGAATTATAAGGAAAACAGTGTAGCAGAAATCAAGGGAAAGATGGGGTAGGCAACAGTAACAAATGCTAGTCAGGTGGGCAAGACCGAAAACTGTGCATGAAATATAACGACAATGAGATCATTGGGGCCCTTGGCGGCTGTGAAGCAGCAGGCGGTAGGTCTACAGGAGGAAACAAGTTGGTGAAAACAATACAGACAACTCTTTAAACAAGTTACATTATAAAGGGCAGGAGAGTGCTAGCAAACATGGGGTAGAAAGATGGTTTCTTTTTAAAGATGGATGTGAACTGAGCATGAAGGGGAGAAATGTGTGGAGTGGGGGAGGCTCAAGTTAAAGTACAGGGAATCAGGGAACAAAATAAAATGCCCAGAGTCAGGGGGAGGGGAGGGAACCCAGAGTCAGTGGGGGGGGGGAGGTAGCCGTGATAGGAGGACCTCCTCTTCCATTTCAAGAGGTGGGAAAGGGTGAGTGTGGATGGAGGTCAGGCCAACCAAAGTGGGGCTCCCTTGATAACTGTGCTGTCCAATATGGTAGCCATTAGTCATACATGGTTACCCCACACTAAGATGTGCTGTGTGAAAAGCACACTGAATTTCAAACTCTGTAGGAACGAAAAAGTAAACTATCTCATTAACATTTTTGATATTGATTACATGCTGAAATGGTATTTTTAGGTATTGAGTAAATAAATATGTATTAAAATGAATTTCACTCATTTCTTTTTGCCTTTAAATGTAGCTACCAGAAAAATTAAATTACCTAAGTTTGCATTACATTTATATTGTATGATGCTGCTCAATGATCTTTTCATTGCTGAAGGAAAAGTTAAATAGAGTCTGATATATTTAAAGAAATAAGTAAAATAAGAACCTAAGCAAGGACAGTCCTGATTCTGAATAAGCATGAAACTAAGGCTGGTCCTGGATAATTATCTATGGAGATCTACTGCATTTAAAGGAGTTTTCCTTTTTTTTTTTTTTAAAGTCAATATGCATTGATACTTGTTCGATACATTGAGTTCATTGAGACATTTTCAAAAAAGGCAAAGTGAAAGAAAAGCTAGCAACAGTCCCAACTAGAACAAACTACTCATATTTGGGTGACTATGTCTTACTGACATCTCCATGAAACAGAGATCTAAAATATTATATAAATGTGATTCTTACAACACATTCCCTTCTGTAACCTTTTGTAACTCAAAATAAGTTACAGACACTTTCTACATAAGTAATTAGGGATTGCTTATTACCCCCATGTAATCATTTTTAATGTAGCCAAATCCACTACTGACAGAATTGTTTCCTATTTCTCACTATTAACAGTCCAATGCCGAAAATTCTTCCTACTCTTTTCCCCCTCAAATGAACATGATTATTTAAGAGAAAAATCTTACAAGGGGTGCTGGGGTTATGGCTAACATTTTGATATATTTACCTGTCCAGCTACCCTCCAGAAACTTAACTAAGAACATCACTTCTATGACACTATGTACCAGGCATTGTTCTAAATAGTTAACATATATTACTCATTTAAGAACTCTATATGGTATGCACCATCATGCTGATTTTTAGGTCAGAAAATGGAGACACAGAAGGGCAACCTGCCCAAGGCCACATAATTAGAAGAGATAGAACATGGTTATGTAACCCAAATTTTTAACCAAAGGTCTGGAGACGGCAGGAGTGTAATCCCAAGGAGGGTCATTAGGTAGATCGCTGTGGAAGGAGAATTAGGTACTTTTCCTTCGCTCGCCAATCAGAACAGCAGTAAAGAATGTACTCTCATCTTCAGGCTGGAGTCACCAAAGAGAAGGCCCACGCTTTTTACTTCGGGAATGTTTCCTTTCCATGCGAAGACGGTCACGATTACTGAGACTCAGTATAACAGGGACTTGGGCTATTTCTTTTTCTAGTAATGGTATTGGACTCTTATCTTTAAATTTTGCCTGGTTCTCAGAAGAGCCTTTCCTTCTTATAAACGGCCATCCAATAGAATTATCTTGATGATAAAGGTTTGACACTTACATTCCCTAAAAGGCAGTATGACCTAGTAAGTTTAGAAGAAAATCAAACACAACACTCAGAAAAACAGATGAAAAGATGTATAAATTCCAACAGGAAAAATATAGCCAGTACCCACCCCACAAAAATCCTCAAGAAAACAAAAAATCCTGGGCCCACTTGAGATCAAGTAGGTCAATGCTGACCAATAATGTTCTCTATTCCTAAAATTGACATCGCCAGTCCACTCCCTGATAATGAGTACCGGACTGCAACATCCGTGTGTCTACAATCTATGTGAGCAGATGGTTTCGCCATCTGTGGCTTGCCGCGATTCCTCCACAGTAGTGAAGGATGCTATAAATCCACATCAGTAGCATCGCGGTGCCACACCTGCTAACAAGAGTACATGGTCCCAAAGCAGTCATCTAGAAACCAAGAGGGCTGCTAAAACGGCTGATTGCACTGATTAAAATAATGAGTTAACTGACAGACTCACAGACTCTTGCAGAACTTAGTCTGAATTCACTTGTGGGCAACTTTTGAAATGACTAAAACCTTTCCCCCTCCCCTCCCACACCTATTCCCTCTGCAGTAATACAGCCAATATTTATATCTTGTTTCCTCTTCTTTAGACACGTATTAATTCAGTAATCCTCTGAACAACTCTATGGAGTACGAGCCCAGCGTGGTCAAGTAACTTGCTCCCAGTCACACAGCTAGTAAATGCTGGGGAGAGAGGCTGGGGCTGGAACCCTGTGGTCTGGATCCCGGGTTCCGGTGAGGACTCAGAGCGTCTTGGCTGGGACCTTCAGGAGCCCTGAGAAGGATGGGATCCTCAACTGCGGCTCACCGTGGTCTCTAAAACAGACCTTCACATAATTCAGGAAAGCCTGGGCTCGTTTAGGTGTTGAAAAGTGGAATCACACTTCAAGTGCTCCTTCATCGTCAAGCCAGCTTTTGGCAGGCCCGGTTCGCTCTCCAAGGCAACTACCAGGGCTGGGTTTTGATAACTTAGTTTTTCTTAAAGTAGGAATTCCATAAAACAGGTTGAGGTGAGGACAAGATGCAGCACGAGGAGCCCGTGCTTCTCCCGCACACACTCGACTCGGAAGCCCAGACAAGGCGCCCCCGTTCGGTTGCGTTTACCCAACCTCCGCCCGGGATCAGGCCAGGCTGGCCCCAGCGGCCCGAGCGCGACCCCCGGCCGTGGCTCTCGCTGGAGTCCCCCGCGCCCTGGGTTCGAGCCCAGGTTCAGGGCTCTGTCCGCCGCGATCGCGCACGCGCTCCGCTCGGGGTGGGTGGCAGAGGCCCCCGCCGAGGGCGCCCTCACCTCCCCACGCGCCCCCGGTCCCGCACGGCCTCTCACCTCCGTCCGAGAGCCGGCGCCGGGGCTTCCGGCCAAGGGCAGCCCCCGCCCCCGGGACGCCCCCTGCTGCCCCTGGTGCTCCCCCACCGTCCCGGGGCTCTCCTATTGTCCCCCGGGCTCCAAGGGCTTTCCCTACCGAGTCCCCTCGCGGGCCAGGCCCGAGAACCCCCACCCCAGCGCGGGCCCGGCCAAGGCCACGCGCCCGTCAGCTCCCCGAGCTGCGGATCGCCTTGGGGGGGGGGTCGGGGCCTTCCAGGTTTCCCCGCAGGACGAGGGGGGCCGCGCCTACCGAGCACCAGGTGGGCCATGCCGAGCGTCCCCGTCGCCGCGCAGTCCCGCCGCCGCCCGAGCTCTGCCGCGCCGCGCCCCCGTCGCTCCACGTCCCGCCCTCTGAGTGCTAGGCCGGCGCGGGGCGGCGCGGCGCGGCGGGGGCGGGGCGGAAGGCGCTCGCCAAGCCGTGGCCGCGGCTCATTGGTTCCCGAAGGCCTCGCCAATTCTTGTAGCCAATGGGTGGCGGCCGAGTAGAGGTTACCGGTTTTGGTTTTTTTAACGGGGGCGGGGCGAGCGGCGGTAGGTGGGGCTTGCTGGGGGCGGGCTGACCAACCTCTCTGCTTCTCCCGTGGTCCTCCACCGGGCCGACTCCTTCTGCACTCGGGGTTCTGTTTACCTTAGAGTCCAGTATTTGGTTTTTCTTACGTCTCGGGTCCTTATTCTCTGTTTACCACCACCTTGCCTCTAACGATTACCCATCCACCCCTCATTCATCCTTTGCCTTCCCCCCACCCCTTCTCCTTTTTGTCTCCCACGAGGATAACTTTCTTTGAACCCTCAGTGCATCCAGGATCTTATTAAATGACATTAATTTTTCTTGTTCCCGGATGAGTATTCGGTCAAAAAACACTTGCTAAGCACATACTACATGTAATGTAATTCACCAAGTTTTATTTTGTTGAATTACTTTAAAAGTTGCCATGTCCAGCGCACATGACCGTGCAAAGCTTTTCACAGACAGAACTGGGTTTTCTGTAGAATCCCGTGGGGCTTAACGCTTCAGGGCTCCTCGCAGGGTTTCCTTCCTCGCCCTAGGAGGGGCCCTAGCAATGCGTTCACGTGGTCATGTGTCTTGTAAAATTCGCAAAAGTAAAATATTTAAAGTATAATAGGCTAAGACTATGATACCTTTTCACTCTGATTTCCCCTCCTATGTTTGGAGTGGACTTGAACATTTTGTTTTTGTATTAGTAATGTATTACAATAATAATAATTTATTTCTCTGTAGCACCTTATGCATAAAACAGCTCTGATTACAACAAAAACATTTATGAGCACAATGGGGCCCAGGAGCGATGGTGTCTGGTAGGACTTCCTGGAGGAAGTGCCATTAGAGCTGAGTCTGGAAGATTTGCCTGACTAGCTGGAGAAAGTCATTCCAGAGGAAGCAAAGGAAGTGAAGAAGACACAGTGGGGTTGAACAGACACCATGAAGAGGAAGCTGGCAGCCAAAGCGAGATGATGGGGTGGTGCTGGAGGGCTCCCTGACATGGTGAGACGTTCAGAGTGTGTGTAGGTTAGGCCCCATGGACCCCTGATTTTTGATTCGCTAAGATCTCTTTTATTGATGTTGTTATAAAATATAGGATTTGGTGTGTCAGGGTAATGAATCAGGGCCTCTAAAATAAACATCCTAAAAAGTCCGTGGTTTCTACCATAAAGGTTTGTTTCTTGCTCTTATTGGGGAGCAGGTTTAATGTGGTGGCTCAGGGACTCTGGCTCCTCCCATCTCACAATGCCACCATCTTCTAAAACATGCACTCTCAACATGAGAAATATTGCCCCCAAGAAAGCAAAAAGTGGTTCTTGGCGGGGAGGGGTGAAAAGAAACTTAGATCACACAAGGGCTACAGTACATAAACAGATACACAGTATATCTGTGTTTTTCAGATTTCATGGGAGAGAGGAAATTAGGAAATGTCTAAAAAGGCCCCTAAGGGGATAATTAAAAAAAAAAAAAGACCAAGAAATACTGTTCTAGAACAGGGCTGATCAATAGAAATATAATGTGAGCCACAACCACTTAGGACATTTTAAAATTTCTGGTAGCCACATTAAAAAAGTAAAGAAATTAATTTAAAAAATATAGTTTAACCCAAGATACCCCAAATGTTATCATTTCAACATGATGTAATCCCATAAAAATGATTAATGAGCTATTTTACATTATTTTTTATACTAAGTCTTTGAAACCCAGTGTGTATTTTACATTTGCAGCACATCTCACAGTGGCCACATTTCAAGTGCACAATAGCCACATGTAGCTAGAGGCTTTTCTATTGGACAGCACAGTTCTTGAACCTCCTTAGAGTCCTTGATTGGTTCTTCAGTGTTGGACTGACTGAAGAGCAAAGAGAACAACCAGGTTTGCAAGGGTTCCACTGACATTCCTTTGGCCAGAATCCTGCCATGTGACCCCCAATTTAACTGCAAGGCAGGCTGGCAAATAGTCTTCTGTGGCCAAGAAGAGAAATTGGGTTGGTTAGGATCACGACAATTTCTGCTATAGTCCACCCTCTGGCCTCCAGATAGCCACGTTATTTTTCCTCCACACATGGGACACAGTTAGTCCCTCCCCAAGGGGACTCCACCCAATGTTCATCACTGCGCCCAGCTCAAAGTCCTGGAGATCTGGGGGATGTGTTGACCCTCCAGGTCAGGGTATGAGGCCCCCTAATGCAGAGCTTATGAACTAAAAATGAGCTAGCCTCTCCACCTCCAGACTTGCAATGCAAATGTTAGGGCAAGACAGGGGACTCATAATAAAACCTCCCTTTCAGAAAAGAGAAGAGAGATACACAGCAGTCCCTGGTTCAGCAATTCTGAAATCCTGATGTGTGATATTGTACAGCTCCCACAGTGGGGAAAGGCAGTCCCTTGATCAGGGTCGATTCTGCTCCCTGGGAGAAACTCTGTGACCACCCCCATCCTCTAGGAGGCCTCCCCTGGTGATTGGTCTCCTATCCACATCTAAAGTGGGAGGGGAGAAGCCTGCTCTCCTAGTTGCCCAGCCTTCAAAAGCCTCCCTTTTGCCTGTGGAAGATTGGGAGTCCAAGGGCTTTTTAGTTGCGTGTTTTTGCCTTTTGTTTGGCTTAAAGTAACTTTTTACTGAAATATAACATTGTCATGGACTGAATTGTGTCTCCCCCAAATCCACAGTGCTGAAGCCTGAATCTCCAAATGACCGTATTTGGAAATAGGGCCTTTAAAGAGGGAATTAAATGAGGCCATAATCCAATAGGACTGGTATCCTTCTAAGAAGAGGACGCTGCACCAGGAGTGAGCACACACAGAGGAAAAGCTGTGTGAGAACACAGCCAGGCGATGTCATCTACAAGCCAAGGACAGAGGCCTCAGCAGAAACCAAACCTGCTGGCACCTTGATTTTGGACTTCCAGCCTCCAAAACTGCAATACAATGAATTTCTGTTGTTTAAACCCCTCAATGGGTGGTACTTTGTCATGGCAGCCCAGGCAGACTCATACAAACCTATACGCTAATAAAGAGCACAAATCTTTAAGGGTAACAGCTCCTCGGCATTTTCATGAAATGAACATCCATCCTATGTAACCAGCACCCAGAAGAACCCCTTGCAGCCCCTTGAAAAGATAATTGGACACTTTATAAAAATGGAATCAATCAGTATGCACTTTTCTGTATCTGACTCATTCACTCAAAAGTCCATGGTTCATTCGTATAACTGCTGGCTGTGCACCATTGTATAAATGGACCACAGTCGATGTGTTCTCCTCTTGATGGACACGTGGGTAGTTTCCTCATTACATTGGTGGGTTGGCAAATGTGATACTTCAAAGACCAGACACACACTTTCTTGTCAGTGCTGCAGGCTATTTTCAATGTGCTGTCAAGTGTATAATGGCCTATTTGCATTACAGTTTAAATCTCAGCTCCAACGAACAGCTCACCACTCCAAAATATTTAGTAGGCCTGAGGTCATTTAATATTTGCTACTCAGTACAAAAGAAGTATGTAAATTAGGACAAAAAGAATTGGCCAGTCTCCAGTCGGGTATGTCGGTGCTTCCCCCAACAGTTATGCATTGAAGGCCTTGTGTGTTCTAGCTGCTGTGGGGAGAACAAAAGAAATATAAAGAACACAGTTTCAGCCATCAAAAGGTAGGTTTATCAGTACACTTTGCTATAATCTAGAATGTTCTGGCTCTTTTTAAAAGCTTTGAAGTTGAAAGCTAAAGTGTAACGGTGGCTTTGGCTATAGATGCACACAAAGGAAGGGGGTCGCTGTTCACTCTGTCATTCCTTCCTTCACTTATTAGTTTGAAAGATATTTGCTGAATATCCACTTGTTTCAGGCACAGTGCTGGCCGTGGGGGTACTAAGATGATTAAGAAATGTTCCCTGCCTGTAGCAGCTCATAGTCCAATGTGGTAGGCAGGTCAATAAGAAGCTGCAATGAAGGTATGCACAGAAAGTTCTATGAGATCACAGAGTAAGCAAGCATCTCACTCTGCTTGAGGGAGTCTGATGTTGAAGGGGGTTTCTGGGGTCGCAGGGAGGCAAGAGGGGGGTGTTCCAGGCAAGCTTGTGAGCAAAGGCACAGAAGTGGAGAAGGGCATGGCGAAGGGCACGGTGCATGGTGAGTCCCAAGCAGCCCCTCCGCAGCAGGTGGATTGGAATCAGTCACAACAGCTATGCTGAGTGCAGAAACAGCGACCACCATCAGTCACTTTTCTTTTCACACTCCTATGAGTTTTAAGAACAGAGGATTAAAACATCTTACATGACTAAATTTCTTGAGTTCCAGGACATTCAGCTCATATTGAGTATGGCTCGTTGGGTGCTCAGTCAATGAGAATGGAGTGTTCCAGAGCTGGGTGAATTGAAACAATTTCAGCGAGTCTCCTTGGCCTTGACTGGAAGTTGGGCCGATCAGATGCCAGCTCCAGGCCATTGTTCCAGGAAAAACGCAGAAAGGACAACAATAATATTTTCTGAAGTACAGCAGGTCCCTCTTCCTGTTCTGGCCTCGAAGGCTGGGTCACCAAGCAGAAAAGAAGAAACCAGGTGATTTAAGGAGGAGCAAAGGACAGCCCAGAAACCTCGACTTTTTTTTTCCAAGACAATGAACAGAATTAGTAACTCAAATTCCCACATTTCACATAGTTGTTAAATAACAATAAAACAATAAATAATATATAATAACTTTGTATGTGCTTCCCCCAGAATATTCTTAAGCGGGTTTGGGTGGGATGTTGATGAAGAAGCCAGAAGTTTCTTTTCCTTCTATTTCCTTATCATTTCTACTCCCATCTAAGTTGGGTGACTATGGCTACTGCTGGTCCCCCATTGTTCCTCACCCCAACTTCC